TCAGTAAAATTTGCTCTGAAGAGAGAAAATACAGTGTTTCAATCTCAAATCCCATTAGCATAGTCATGAAAAGAGACATTTACAATGGCTCCAGAATACTAACTTTTGTTAATTAAATTGTAAACTGTTTTCTATTTCAACTTCTCAGAAAAAAGAATTTATAGACAGTATGGCAGAATGTTAGTTATCTTTATGAAGCAGTCAGGAATGTAACAAAATGAAGATATTTTGATACAGAAAAGGAATTGGTGTATTCTCATAGCTGTGCTTGAATGCCTCTATTACTGTTAGGATAACCATTATACATTAGATGCAGGATTGTACTGGTAATCAACTAATTAAATATTGGGAATTAAAATGTTTTTAAATTTGTTACACTGATAGTTAAAATTTATTACTTGTGCTGTTGAACTTACAGATTCCATTTCTGAGATTTTTTTGTAGAAATGTTTCTTCTGTATTACTTGTAAATTTTATATAAAAAAAACAAAAAATACTATAAAAATCAAACTGTTAGGGTTTGCAGTCTAAAATAAAATTAAAACATGTTTAATGATAGCAAGAAATAGTATGTATATTGTATTACTTGCAGTGTGTTTGTGTGTGTGAATACAAATACACATTTTAATAGAATACCAAATTAAAAAATCAATAAAAAATAGCAAGTCTAGTTTTGAACCAGTCATAAATGCCAGTCTGCTGGCAAGCACCCAAAATATGCGATTATGGATACAGTGGCAAAACATCTTACAATGGCTAGAAGTGCTATATGGGCTGTAAAGCATTGTTCTCTTATAATTTCAAACAGTTGTTAATCACCTGGTCATAAGCTGAGGACTATTGTATTAAGCAGTAGGAGACACTGGAACCAGTTTTATCTTTATTGGGATTCTTCAAGCGTAGCTATCCTACATACTAGAGGAGGATGTTTGAATGATTTATATGCCTATTACTGGCCAATAGCTATTACAAAATCTGAAGCTATATAAGCTCACATATAACCCCGCCATAAAGATCAAAATTTAAAACTTTTTCACCCTGAGGAAAGCCAGTTACCAGCCTAACTCACAGAGGGAAAATCATTACCAGTATCTGCATGTTGTTCTAAACCAGGAAGAACAGACTTATATCAGACTGGTCAATACAAACATATGCTGCTGGTTTAAAGTGCTGGTTTTAACCGTTAAAGCCCTTAGTGATCTAGGATCAGGTAAACTGGAAGAGCACCCAATCCTATGTATACCTACCTGATCTGTTAATGAGGACCTTCTCTAGGTCCATCCACCAGTATTTCTCAGCTTTGGGAACTTGAAGGTATGCGGACTTCAATTCCCAGAATTATATTTTCCCCAAATAATTTAAACTTCTTAAATGTAGTTTTGGAATTTTCACCAAAGGAAGGAGCATAGTGCAGGAGAGAAATGGCTAAATTTTATTCAATGATCACTGGGTGTCTGCTTTATAAGAAATGGGGATCCTGAACAACAGAAAGACAGATGGTTATACATTTTGGGATTGAAAAATCTAAATGAGTCATGGACACATTTTGAGCAAATGAGATAAATGTTTAAACAAAGAAAAATGTATTTTTCTATTGTAAAGCAAAGCATTCCATTGTTAATAGGATGGAATATTGAGAAAAGCATCCACACTTCATTGTGATGGAATATCCATGGCTTCCTAGATGATATGATTAAAAGGTTATATTGGTAGCAGAAACATAGCCATGTTTGAATTATGTATGATCCTGGAGCTGATCTAGTTTATGTATGCAAGTGAGATGGGGCAAGGACAGTAGAGAGAAATGGGGAAAGAATTTGCAACAGGAGAGGTGGAGGTAGGAAGAAAGTAGAGCCAAAAAAAAAGGTTGGGGGAGAGTTTGGAGAATTTGCAGCTTTATTATTTTTAATTTTTTTAAAACACAATTGCCTTTTCCTGCTTTCTACTAGTAATATTTATGAATGGCAAAATTCTTGCACAGAAGCCTGGTTCAGAAGGAGCAGAAACAATGGTTATAAAGTAAAGAAGCAGCAGAAGAGTAGTAGTAGTAGTAGTAGTAGTAATAATAATAAAAAAAACAGTAGTAAAGTTGGAAGGGACCTTGGAGGTCATCTAGTCCAACCCCCTGCTCAGGCAGGAAACCCTATACTATTTCGGACAAATGGCTGTCCAGTCTCTTCTTAAAAACTTCCAGTGTTGGAGCATTCACCGCTTCTGGGGGCAGGTTGTTCCACTGGTTAATTGTTCTAACTGTCAGGAAGTTTCTCCTTAGTTCTAGGTTGCTTCTCTCTTGATTAGTTTCCACCCGTTGCTTCTTGTCCTGCCTTCAGGCGCTTTGGAGAATAGCTTGACTCCCTCTTCTTTGTGGCAGCCCCTGAGATATTGGAACACTGCTATCATGTCCAACCTTTGTCCTTCTCTTCATTAAACTAGACATACCCAATTCCAGCAGCCGTTCTTTATATGCTTTAGCCTCCAGCCCCTAATCATCTTTGTTGCTCTTCTCTGTACTCTTTCTAGAATCTCAACATCTTTTTTACATCGCGGTGACCAAAACTGGATGCAGTATTCCAAGTGTGGCATTACCAAGGCATTGTAAAATGGTATTAACACTTCACGTGATCTTGATTCTATCCCTCTGTTAATGCAGCCTAGCACTGTGTTGGCATTTTTGGCAGCTGCAGCACACTGCTGGCTCATATTTAGGTGATTGTCCACTAGGACTCCAGGGTCCCTCTCACAGTTACTACTATTGAGCAAGGTACCCCCTATACTATACCTGTGCATTTGGTTTTGATTGCCCAAATGTAGAACCTTGCTTTTTTCACCACTGAATTTCATTTTGTTAGATAGTGCCCAGTGTTCAAGTTGTCCAGATCCTTCTGTATCCTAAGCCTGTCTTCTGGAGTGTTGGCTATTCCTGCCAGGTGGGTTTGCCTGCAAATTTGATGAGTTCCCCATCTATCCCCTCGTCCAAATCGTTGATGATGTTGAAGAGCACTGGGCCCAGAACAGAGCCCTGGGGCACCCCACTACACACTTCCCTCCATGTAAATGTGGTTCCATTGAGGATCACCCGCTGAGCATGGATGGTCAGCCAGCTACAGATCCATCTGGTGGTGATGCTGTCTACCCCACATTTTTCTATCTTGTCAAGTAGTAGGTTGTGATCTACTTTATCAAATGCCTTACTGAAGTCCAAGTAAATTATGTCCACAGCATTCCTCTGATCCATTAATTTTGTCACTTGGTCAAAGAATGCAATAAGATTTGTCTGGCATGATCTATTTTTGACAAACCCATGTTGGCTTTTAGTAATGACTTTATTTGCCTCTAGGTGTTTGCTTATTCGTTGTTTGATCATCTTTTCCAGGATCTTCCCAGGTATTGAAGTCAGGCTGATAGGTCTGTAATTTCCTGAGTCCATTTTTTTTCCTTTTTTGAAGATGGGAACTACATCAGCTCTTTTCCAGTCCTCTGGTAGTTCCCCAGTGCTCCAAGATCTTTGAAAAATATAGTTTAGTAGTTCTGAGATCACATCTGCCAGTTCCTTGAGAATCTTGGGGTGTAATCCATCTGGTCCTGGTGATTTGAACTCGTCTAGGCTGGACAGGTGCTCACTTACCATTTTCTTGCTTATCTTAACTTGTGTTTCTATTCTGTTTTTTATGGCACTATTTTTGATAGGTTGGTCTGTTTTTTTCCCTTTGTGTAAAGACAGATGCAAAAAACGAGTTAAATAGTTCTGCTTTCTCCCTGTTGCTTGTCAACTTCTTGCCACTTTCACCCACTAATGGACCAATCATTTCCTTCACTTTTTTCTTGTTTTTTACATGTTGAAAGAAGCTTTTTTGTTATTTTTGACTTTGGTCGCAAGCCTTAGTTCATTTTGAGCCTTGGCTTTCCTCACTTCATCTTTGCTGGCTCGGGCTATTTGCTGATATTCTGACTTAGTTAAGTGCCCCTCTTTCCACTTTCTATACTTGTCCTTTTTATCTTTCAATTTGTCAGAGAGTTCTTTATGCAACCATGCTGGTTTCATTTGAGAGCTGTTATTTTTCCTCTTTGTTGGTATTGTGCTAGACTAGGCTTTTATTATCTCATTTTTCAAAATTTCCCAAGCTTCTTGAGTTGTTTTCCCCTTGAGCAGTGGTTCTCAACCTGTGGGTCGGGACTCCATTTGGGGTCGAACGACCGTTTCACGGGGGTCGCCAAACAACGCAGTCTGCCATTTCCCCCCCCCCCTTTCTTTGGCCACGCCCCTGGCACCTGGTGATGTATAAGTGGTTGGGGGTCACCACAACATGGGGAACTGTATTATGGGGTCGCAGCATTAGAAAGGTTGAGAACCACTGCCCTTGAGGATTCTCATCCATGGAATCCTTCCCAAGCCCTCTCTAAGTTTATTAAAATTAGGAAAATGCCAATGAAAAACTAGGCCTTTTAGGCAAAAAACCCTATTTATTCTAATCAACTATCAAACCAATTATTGAAGGAATTGAAATCCAGGATAGCATCCTGGCTGACATTGTGGAAAAGACGAATTACCTATTGGATTGGGAGCAGTGCTTTTTTTCTTTAAAAAAAAAAAAAGGTGCCGGAACTCACACACATCATACAACCCGCCTTGCCTACCCTACAAGGTTCCATCCAAAAAAGGTGCCGGAACTCTGTTCTGGGTGTTCTATGAGAAAAAAAAAAAAAGCCCTGATTGGGAGTAATGGAAATGAGAGAGAAGAAAAAAAGAAAAGAAGGGAAAAAAACAACAAAGCATTAGTTATGCACACTTATGCAGCCATGTTATTATACATTTTTATTGTTATTCCTTCCCCTAAAAGATTTCAGTTTGTTTTTCAATTGAATTGTATAGTTTATATGTTAACAATGGAAAAAATTCTGAAATGATTTATCTTGGTCTGATTTTTTTATCAATAGCAATACCACTTAAACTTATATACCATCCCATACTGGGCAATTTACAACATTCTCTGGGCAATTTACAATGTCAGCATATTGCCCCCAAGAATCTGCGTCCTCATTTTATCGACCTCGGAAGGATGGAAGTCTGAGTCAACCTTGAACTGGTCAGAATTGAACTCCTAGCTAGGCAAAGTTTGCCTACGATTCTCCTTTTCTACTCTGCCACTAGTTAGAGATTTTTTACATCTCAAAAACCTGGCATTTTAATGGTGTGTAGCACTACAGCTGGACTCACCCTCAAGATGCAAGTTGGATTTGTTTCTTTCCAAATCATTCTCTCTCTGCTTAGAAGAGAAACCAATAGAGCTCTTACTCTCACTCCCTGAATTTCATTACTAGAGTTTGCAGATCCTCTTACTGGCATCTATGAAAGTAGTGTCATCCTCACACTGCAGGTCAGGGATGTTTCTTCCTCCAATTTTACAACAAAGCTCATCTTCTGTCCAACTTCCTTTAATGCCTGTTCAGCATATAAACTGAATAAATAAGGGGAGAATATACAGTCTTGCCTCATGCCTTGGCCAATCTAGAGGCAGTCTGTTTTGCTATATTCTGTCCATTATAGTTTCCTAACCTGAATAAAAGTTTCTCATGAGAACAATGAAATGTTGTAGGATTACCAATTTTTTAAACTTAATATGACTAACATAGTTAAAGGCCTTTCAATATCAATTAAGCATATATTGACTTCTTTTGGGGGTTGGGTTGGGTTTCTCTATTATCCAGTGTGCACCAGCAATAATGTCTCATGTTCCTCATACTTTTCTAAAGCAAACTTGAACATCTGGCATCTCTTTGTCATGCAGGGCTTTAATCTGCATTGCATGATCTTTACTAGAATGCGACATTAAGGATATAATGATAGTTTGCACACTATTAAATCTCCTTTTATTTGGTATTGAAATGTAGATTGACCTCTTCTGATCTGTTTACCAAATCTGTGCCCTTCTCTAAATTTGCCAGCACAGCTTGGTTAGAACCTTTACCGATTTTTATTTTTTTCCTTGCCATATTTCTGTGCTGCATCGGATTGACAGACAAAATTAAATTCCACTATATTCAATCTCCCATTAATGCTCTGGTCAAAGTCATATACACTGTAGAAATCAATAAAGGGTTGAAGGTTGGATGAGACTTGACAGGGAAAAAGAGAACTAGTTAAAGACCACCTTGAGTATGGGCGTGGATCCTAGAGGAAATTCTAAGCAAACTGAAAATAAGACCTGCTTTTCGGTTCAAGTTTATATTTCTTCCACTTACAATTTGATTACTCCATTGTACAATGAATTGCAAACGACTAACGTGGTCTCTGCTGCAATCCTCTTTGCCGTCCGGGGCAAACAACGGCATAGAAACCGCTCGCTTGCGTCTCCAGTGGAACGAGTGACCGTTTAACGGTCTTCGGCGGCGGAAAATCAGAAGAGCACGAAAAAGCGTTTTGCGCCTGCGCGCGGAGCCTTCGATTGCTCGCGCTCGCGTTTGACAGCTGTGCATTGTTCGCTCTCCCTTCGGCTGGCACGTGAGGAGCGCCTCATTGGAGTGTATCCCAGCGGGGTTGCTGGTCTGGGGGACAGGGAGGAGGAGGAGGAAGAAGGTGGCGTTTCAGAACGGCCTCTCCGATGACCCTCAGTTTACTGCGGGGCCGGCGCTATGGCTGCTCTATACCAGAGTGCAGACCCATCGGCCTCGGCTTCCCCGAATAAGCTGCTGGCGTTGAAGGACGTCCGGCAAGTGAAGGAGGAGACTACCCTGGACGAAAAACTGTTCCTGCTGGCCTGCGACAAAGGTAGACCTCAGCCTTTTGCTTTTTCCTTCATTTCCGTAAGGAAACTGTTTTCTTTCGACCCGCATTATCAACCAGGAGCGGGCCTTCATCAATGAATCCGCCCAGCATCCAAGCTGGCAGAGCCGGCAGAGGCCGAGGTTTTGCTCCTTATTCCTGAACGTATCTAGGATGAGAAACTCAATCCGAATAATCAATGTGTGATTCGTAAAAAGGGGTAGCACTCTGATTCTGACCCACTGAGTAATGTACATTCCTTGTAATGACCAAGAACAATAGCAAAAGGCATCTAAAGTTCCCATCTTTTCCTCCCTTCCCTTTTATGGGAATGTGCGTTTGTTAGCTTTGTTGATGAAGGGTCTTAGCTAACAAGCCCAAATTAATTATTAGACTGTCAAGTAACCCTGTTATAACATGTAGTTTTATTTGATTATTTTCAGCTTTTGACCATTCTTCTTTATTTCTATATTTTAAAGGGGGAAGAGGGTAGTTTTCAGGGAATGTTTGCTTTTTAAATCAAAATTTGCATATGGCTGTCTTGCCAAAGAATTTAATAAATATTAAAGAAAGTCATTAAAAATTAAAATCTAAATTGCTAAAATAGGTTTTTGTATATTATTGGTTTAGGTGATTATTACATGGTGAAGAAGCTTTTAGAAGAGAATAGTACTGGTGAGATGAACATAAATTGTGTGGATGTACTTGGGAGAAATGCTATTACCATAACTATTGAAAATGAGAATCTAGACATTCTACAGCTTCTGTTGGATTATGGCTGTCAGGTACTACTAATAACATAAGTATAAATTTGAAATTTCTATTCTTTTTGCCCTTAGAACATTGTCATTTCATAATTTAACAATGTATATTTTCTTCCACGGTCTGAAAATTGCTATTATTTGTGCTTTAATTTTCTTCAGTCTACAGATGCATTATTGGTGGCCATTGACTCAGAAGTTGTGGGAGCTGTTGATATATTGCTTAATCATCGACCAAAGAGATCCAGTAGACCAACAATTGTTGTTAGTATTACTTTAATTTTGTGTTTGAGAGTGCATCTCATGATGTCAAATCTTCAAGCATGTATTTGATAATGGGAAAAGTTTGATCTTGACAGCTTTGGAGAACAATTGAAAAGTTTTTGATTATACATCTGAAAAAGGGCATATATATTCATTATTTCTAATTATTTATTAGATTTATATTCAGGAACTCATGGACATATATAGCACTCTGCCACTCACTTTTCCCCACAACAACAATCCTGTGGTCTTCTATGGCTGGGGCTGACTTGAAGCTATTTTACTGATTATTTATAAAGGATAAACATTTTAAAAATATTAGTTTAACCTTTGTGGCATTCTGCTGCTTGAATTTAAATAATGAAAATTTTCACACTTATGGCCGTTGTAGCATCCCCGTGGTCTTGTGATCAAAATTCAGACACTTGGCAAGTGAATCAAATTTATGACGGTTGCAATTCCCGGTGTCTTATGATCACCTTTTGCAACCTTCTAACAAGCAAAGTCAATGGGGAAGCCAAATTCACCCAACAACTGTGGCAAGAAAGGTTGTAAAATGGTGCATTATTCACTTAACAAACGTCTCACTTAATGACAGAAATTTTTGGCTCACTTGTGGTTGTAAGTCAAGGACTACCTATATACATTATAAAAGGGAATAATTCTAATACTAGTTTTTATAAACATTACTAAAAAGATAAGAATTGTTACAGTATGTAAATTTAATAGTGTAATTATTATCTTCAATACATACCACAAAGTCTTTTCTATTACAATTTTTTAAATATTGAGATAATCACTAGAAGTAACTCATCAAATTATCACGTATACATTGATCTATTTTTTAATATTATCACTTTAAGTACTATTGTATAAATGTGTGTTTCAACTTTGGATGCTTAAGAAGGATAAGAAGCATAACTGAGTTTATCCATTCTACTTCTTGGTATCCTACCCCTAGAAATATGAGGAATAACATATGTACTTTAGAGCCATATATACAGTTTTCATTTTAGGAAATAATTCTTCATGGAACAAAATGTACTTAATTAACATTTGTCAGTCATTGCATCCAGTTTAGTAATTTTGAAACTAAAAATATTTAAGATCTTAAAATATATGTTTTGGTTTCAAATCAGATGTCTTAGATTTCATCTCGGTATTAGTAATTCATCAAGCTTAACTTATTTTCTCAGATTTCTGTCTGTTTGTTGCAGAAATTAATGGAACGTATTCAGAATCCAGAATACTCAACAACTATGGATGTGGCACCTGTCATTTTAGCTGCTCACCGTAACAACTATGAAATTCTTACAATGCTCTTAAAACAGGATGTGTCGCTACCCAAACCTCATGCTGTGGGGTGTGAATGTACATTGTGTATAGCCAAGAACAAAAAAGATAGTCTACGACACTCCAGGTTACAATAATTTGATCTTCATCCGTACCTGCAGTTTTTCCACCATTTTTAAGTAATAATCATAAAGGTGTTTAGTTTATATTTTAGAATAAAATGAATGCTCATGACAAGGATATATTTGATGGGGTGTATAGATTTGCATGCATAAGATGTTAGATTTAATCTCTGCTATCTTAGTAGAATTGGGAAAAATATTTGGATGATTGCTTATGATCATTATATAGTAGAGAACACAATGGTTTAGCGACCTCGCTGGTGGTAAATTAGTTTCGTACTATATACCTAGTTGTCCTGGAAAGAGACTTCTGTAAACAAGGAACTATTTTTTCTTCTACGTTATTATAAATTGCTAATATGTAAGCAGTTTAAAATACATTATTCATAGAAACAGATAAAACAATTCATTAATGTGGATTAAAATAGCAGACCAATGTTTGCTTTCACTGCTTTCCTAAAACATAAAACTCAGGGGCCAATATAAAATTGGGTGCAAAGTGTTCCATAAATGTGCATATCCTATTCCCAAATAGATTGCAGCTGAGATTCTATTTGGAGAAGGCAGCTTTGAAATTAATTGAAAGCTTAATCATGTAGGGTTTTACAGTATAGGTCAAAACCAGCATTTTGAATTGTACTTGGGAATTTACTGGCAACTAAGACAGCACTAGAACAACTTTTGTTTCTTAACTGTAGTGGCCTACACCAGGCAGCAGGCAAAGCGTTACATACCAGCTGTAGCTTCTGGGTGGTCTCCAAAGGCAGCCCAAAACTGAATGCATTGCAGTATTCCACTTTATACATGATAAGGGCATAACACACTGTTGCAAAGGCTTCCTTCTGCCCAGAATTGGCACAAAAACAGAAGCTGGGATAAAAGTCCCTTTGGCCAAAACTTTAAGCTATTCATCAAGCAGAAACTGAATCCAGAAAGATACCCAGTTATTGACCCGCTTTTTCAGGGACAGTGACATTGCACCCAGAATCAAACAGGAGCTGAAATTAAATCAGATTGTCAAGACAGAAAAAGTATCTCTGTTGTTTAAGGAATATTTGCACATCTAGTTGCATAACATCTATTTGCTATCGACATCTAGTTGCTCAGAACCTCCAGTGTAGATAATAACAACATTTTTATTATTATTATGAAATTACAATGGTGGATATAGTATCCCAATTTGGCAAAGTTGTTTTGAGTAGGATTAATGGGTTTGCATGTTTTGAGAATTTTAATCTAAAACATTCTCTTTTGAACAATAATGGATAGCAGTACATTTTATAAGCAAGACTTTAATTGATTTTGTTATCAGTATTTAAACTAAAAACATCTAAAAACTTTCTTACAACACGTGCTTTGGAGGAATTTCTTTTGTTTACTAATAATGATATATGTTAGATTTCTAAAATAGATTTCATATAAATGATGAGTTGAAATGTTTAATCAAATAAAAACTGTTTGTCTTAAGATGTGTTCTTTAACATTGCACCACAGATTTCGTCTTGATATTTATCGATGTTTGGCTAGTCCTGCCTTAATAATGTTGACAGAAGAGGATCCAATTCTGAGAGCCTTTGAACTTAGTGCAGACTTAAGAGAATTAAGCCTTGTAGAAGTTGAATTCAGGTAAGATAATATGTATTACTATTGTAATTTCAGCAGCATGATATAATTAGATGCAGGCATATCACAAGTGAGCCTGGCTAACAATACTATATACAGTACATGCTGAAACAGAAAATTCTTAAAGCAAACTCATTAATGTTTACTGAGAAATAAGTCATACATTCTATAGCTCTTATTCCTAGGTAGACATACTGAGGAATAAATAATATAAATAATGTTGTTACTAAGGAGCAAGAACTAAATACAAATATTTCATGAAGAATAACTTGTTTTAAGCTAAGACCATAGATTTGCAATTAACTTAGAAGGTACTACATATATTTCAATGATTTATAGCAAATATCTAGTTAAGGGCAAAATCTACACAGGATCGTGCTGTTCCTTTCTTGATTCAAACATAATTACTCTGGTTATATATCAGAGATCACAGTGACAAATTACCTGTTGCCAAGAAAAATATAAGGTTGCATTCATGAATATTTTATTCTCTGTATTGATAACATAACTTCATTCTGCATGGCAATGAAATGTTTTTTTTAATTTTTAGATCAATCCATCCATATGCATCACTGAAGCCTTAAAAAGATAATGTTTTCTTCAAGTCAGGCTTGATTCCTGATGCCTTTATAGATATTAGCCTAAAGCTCATTTCTTGGTGGTATCATCCAAATACTAAGCTTCAAATTTAATAAAAGTCAACATAGTACTGCTGCTATCCCTAACATTTATTTCATTTTATTAATTTGTTTTTACAATATTTATAATCTATTTCAGTTCTAAAAAAGGGTACAATAAAACTCCATGCCGAAATACATTAAAATGTATATAATAAAAATCAGCCATAAATCTAGTAAATGAAATATGTTTTAAGGGATATTTAATGACCATGTAGCTAAATTATTTAAATTATTCATTTCTTATGAATGGATGGCAAGATATATAGCATTCCCTCTTCCAGTTTTCCCCATAGCTAAAGTCATCTATATCTGAGGGATTTGAACCTGAATCCCCTGGCCCTAGTCCAGCACCTTAACTATTATACCATTTTTATTTTTTAAAAGTTTGTCCTTTTTTAGTGACTGAATAATTTATTTGAATCAACTTGATTTTAGTTTATTCCAGTCTGGTATCAATTTTGTTCAGGAAGGACCTTTATTCTTCTTTTTTGTTTATATTAGGTTAAATTAAATCTAATTAGCATTGAATTATAATAAATTAGCTTTGTGTATTTCCTAGAAATGATTATGAAGAACTGGCCCAGCAATGCAAAACTTTTGCTAAAGATTTGCTTGCTCAGGCACGGAATTCCCGGGAGCTTGAAGTTATATTGAATCATACTGCAAATGATGAACATGTGGATAAACGAGGATTACTAGAAGAGAGAATGAATTTGAGTCGCCTAAAGCTTGCCATTAAGTATAACCAAAAGGAAGTATGTCAGTTTTGATTTATTAAATATAGAATCCTGTAATAAATAGAGGGGATAAAACAGATATGTATCTTAATAAGTTTTCAACTTCTAATAATTAGAAAAAATGTAGTACTAGTTCAATACAATCTATTAAATTTCTATAGGAAGTCCTTGACTTATAACCTTTTGTTTAATGATCGTATGAAAAAGCACTGAAAAAAGTGAGGATCAGTCCTCACACTTACAGTAGTGGCCAAAATTGTGAAAACCTTTTGGGAAAAGTGCACAATAGAAATGCCACCTTTGCTTAAGTTTCCACCAATTTTTCTTCTAATTTCTTTATAACTGTAGCCTTGTTCACTTAATAATACTATTTTACATCGCTCTCTGGGCAACCAGTCAACTCTTTGCACCATTACTTTAATTTTATTACGTTTTTACAAGCTCACTAAATGAAAGAACACAACCCCCCCTAACCAACTTGATAGCAATCACATAACACACTGACAAATGTCCTCCTCTCAGCTTCAATACATGACATCAATAACTGAATCCTACTGTGATCTGATTGGCTCATTGCCAAAACAAGATGACATCTGATTGACTCTCTAAATCAGTGGTTCTCAACCTTTTTAATGCCGCGACCCCAACCGGTTGTAAGTCGAGGACTACCCAACCGGTCATAAGTCGAGGACTTTTCCTGCCTGGGAGCACCGCGCATGCGCGGTGCCGGCCCCTGCGCTGGCCGAGGCGTAGCTGGCAAGGGGCAGCAATGGCACAGGGCGACCACCGGCTGGGCCATCAGCTGGCCCAGCCCAAGGAAGGTAAGGCACCCGCCGGGCCCCACGCGTGCCAGCAACCCTCCCTGCGCCCGCCGGCCTCCCACCTCCCATCCCTGGCCCTCTTTTACTTACATTTTTAGTAGTTGCTCAGCAGGGAGGGGGTGGAAGCTTCCAGACAGCTCGCCTTCGCTGCAGACAACTTGCAGCACCGTTTGCAGACTGGGGCTTTTGGTGGGCTCAGCAGGGCAGAGACAGCCTGGACAATTCCTATTGGCTTTTGAAAGCCAATAGAATTAGACTCTATTCAAGAGAGTCTATTCTATTGGATTTCAAAAGCCAATAGAATAAAAGGGAGTAGCACAGCTAAGAAAAAGGGGGAAAAAATGGCGGACTGCATTGTTTGGTGACCCTGGTGAAATGGTTGTTCGACCCCAAATGGAGTCGCGACCCACAGGTTGAGAACCACTGCTCCAAACACTCATGTTCATTGGCTACAATCAGATGAAGGAAAGCTACCTGATATCAGCCTATGCAAGTTGTGCTTCCTTTTTCTGATTATTTGGCTGTAACCTTTCATAGAATACAGTACAGATAATTGAACAAACTTTGTTACATTACATTCTTGATTAAATTATCTTTCCATTGATATATAATTTTATGGTACTACTCCCAAAAAGTGGTGTTATTAGCCATCAAACCTCAAAAATACACTTTTCCCAAAAGGTTTCCACAATTTTGGCCACTACTGTACAATCACTGCAGCATCCCTATGGTCACATGATCAAAACTTGGGCTCTTGGTACCGGCATGTATTTATAATTATGTGATCACCATTTGTGACATTCCCAACCTGCTTCCAAGAAGCAAAATCAATGGCAGAAGCCAAATTCACTTAATAACTATATGATTCACTTAACAACCATGGCAAAACATATTTAAATTGGGCACCACTCAACAATTACAATTGCAATGTAATTTCCTGGTCTTAACTATGGTTGAAAGTCAATGGCTATCTGTGATATATACATAGGATATAAAATAGCCTAGTACAATGCCTTTTTCTATAAGACAATAGTTAATGTATTTGTGGGGCAAGATCCTGAGTGGCAAGGAAGAATTAATTCCATATTAGTATGAGTTCCTTATTACAGCTCAGTAGATTCACTGGTTTTGCTGCTCTGGTTCTTCGTACATCTGATGTGACACAGTGTTTTCAATTTTACTTGATCCAATTTCTGTGGCTGGTATTATATAATGATACTGTAGTTGCTGAAGTTAATTGCCTCTATAAAATATGTTGAAAGGTTTTGTGCAGGAGATGAATGGCACTAATGTAAACAATACTTTCATATTGCTGTTTTTCACGTTGCCATTTTTGAAGTTTAATTTCTTGTACAGCATTCCCAGTCATGTTTTTATTATTATTATTCCAATTATTCATAGCTTAAAGTAACTATTTTTTACAATCCTCTTGTTTCTTATGTTGGATTTAAAAATCATATGTTGCCAGTTTATAAACCTGACAAGGCTCTAGTACTTCGTATGTCTATGTATGTGTATTTAAAAAGCATTACTCTGTAAAATGGAAAATCTGTTTCACATTGTTCTGTGAAAGCACAAACCAAAATAATGGATGTTATGAAATCTAGTTGCTATAATAGTTAAGATTTTAAATATTTTATTGTGTGTCAAGCTAGTCAGTCCAACAAAAGCAGCATTGCACTGTCACATTGCAAACCTTGCCTTTTGTATACGTATATTCTGATGTGACATAAAAAATATGGTCAAAAGAGGTGGAGCTTATAGTACAAGGCAGCCATCATCACCAGTTCAGTAGTTGGGGCTGTGGACACCACACAAACATTTTTTACAGTTAATCTAGTATTAGCAATACTAAAACAATAAAATGAGAAAGATTGTGTATATGCTTTAAACATACAATGAAGTTTAATTAACTGATTATACTTAATTATATAGAATTTACATGTTTAAAATGAATTTACCCTCCAATGCTATTATTGCAGCTAATTACTTCTGCCTACTTTTGTTATTCTTTTAAACCAAGAATGTAAATCATTAGCTCCTTTAGAAAGTGCTTATTCATGTAAAATATTTTTCTATTACAGTTTGTTTCTCAATCTAATTGCCAGCAGTTTCTCAATACTGTCTGGTTTGGACAAATGGCTGGTTATCGCCGCAAGCATACATTTAAGAAGATTTTGACAGTCTTGACAGTTGGCATCTTTTGGCCTCTACTATCTTTTTGCTATTTACTGGCACCAAGATCTCAAATAGGCAGAATAATTCATACTCCTTTTATGAAATTTATCATTCATGGCGCTTCTTATTTTACATTTCTGTTATTGCTTAATCTGTATTCACTTGTCTACAATGAAGATAAGAAAAACACAATGGGACCAGCATTGGAGAGAATAGACTATCTTCTAATACTGTGGCTCACTGGTAAGTATAAAGAATATGAAATGGTTAAAATTCTGACTTTGTCAGTGGATACATTTTGGAATCAGCTATCTGATATGATAGTAGAACCAGCAGTGGAATAGAAACTATTTCTCAATATCATTGCATTTTCAGTCTGTGTAAAGTATGCAGAATTTTGAAAAGTATATTAGCAGAAGCAAAACACCCTCCTCAAAGCATTAAGCAGCTATGGAAGAACTTTTTAAACGTGTGCTTGTGTGCACATGGAGACTGCTTCTGTTGAAACTGCCAGCAAAATAGCTATACATGCAGATACATGAAACAGCCATGCAAGCTTTCCAAAGGATGTGCCTGCTTTCATGTGTCATATGAAATGATAGGTTATTTTGTTTGACTTAATCTGCTTTGTAAAATGCTTTTTCCTAATACTTTGCACTACTCATTGCTGTTTAAAGTAAATGTACCAACCTTTGGTCTGATTTTCTTTATATCAATAAAATTGCAAATCATATTTTGGTCCCCTAAGACTGATATAATTTTATGAAATAATGATTGCTTGATACATTTGGTATATTCATTTTCTCTATGTAGCTGTGGTTCCAAGCATTTGATAACCCTAAAGAAGTAACATTTTTTATTGTGATTACCTGTTAAGATTAAAAATATCTTCAGACATCTACTACTGAAAGAGCAATATTAGGAAGTCATGTCAGTTACAGAAATGCTATTTTTCATGGTAAAATGTGAAGAGATCTATAATCCTTAAACATTACTTCTTTTTAATCACGCTGTGATGATATTGGAAAAAAATATAAATGTAGAAGAGTGCCCAGAAGTAAATAAATCCACAAAACTAAGCTATTACAGCACAGAATGGGACAACTTGCGGCCAACTCACTGCAGGACAATTCAACAAATATAAAAGTTAAATTAATTTCAACAGAACTGTGGCCAATAATAATAAAATAGACAATCCAGAAATACAAGAGTTACAATACTTTTGATGAAAACATGGTTACCAATAATAAAAGTAACTGAATGTAATAATTAATATAACATTGAATTGTCGGACGGTGAGTTGTCCTATGGCGAGTTGGTTGTGGTAAGTTGTCCTGCAGGAGTTGGCTGAGGTGAGTTAGCCACGGCAATTTGGCCATGGCAAGTTGTCCTAGACCAGAGGTCCCCAACCCTTGGGGCACTAGGGAATGGTTCCATGAAGAGATTTTTACACAGACGAGAAGGTGCATGGTTTTGTGTGCTGCCTGCATCTTGCTTTGCTTGTTTGTGCGGAGTGGTTGCTGGCAAGCCGCAGCCCAGTACTGGTCCATTGACCAGGGGTTGGGGACCCCATCCTAGACCATGGGTGTCAAACTCACTGCATCATGTGACATGTTGCAAAATATCATGACTTTTTTCACATTGCCAGACCTGGGTGGTCTCAGCCTCCACATGATGCAACTGGTCCATGGGCCAGCAGTTTGACATCCCTGTCCTGGACCCATTACAGCATGACCTATGGAGCACTTTATAATGAGCCACCTATAATGGTTCAGCTTATTGTCACATTTATATTAGTTCAGTATTCTGGCCTGTAGGTATATTCAGCATTTTAAAAATAGGCCAGTGAACAAATGGCCACTGTGGTAATGAGGCTTATCACAAGATGATATGAATTCTTTTGTTAAGTTGTCCTACCTACTGCTTGACAGTGGCTAAATAGTTTGCCATTTTTTTTGTACCAGGATTTAAGTTAGCATATTGTGCAAACATGTTGTTATCAACATTTGAGGAGTTTTACCTCCAATACTAATATATTACAAAAAGTTTTCATTGGTTTAATAGTTGGAAAAAAAGCTGTTGAAAAATAACTAGGGAGGAGACAAAACCCACACATATTCTCAACAATTTCCTCTTATCCTAAAGCAATATTGTATAATATTTTTATTAAATATAATTATATGTTTATAGTGGAAAACTTTTATAAGGTAACTGATTTTTATTTGGAATATACTGAATATTAATTCGTTCAGTTTAGGTATTGTTTTATCATATTTTATAATACTGTAATCTGTGTTTGTCACTAAAAACTCCTTGGAATGAGTAGTTTTTTATTAGACTGATCTTTCAGTTATTTAAAATTATAGCTAGACAATACTGAGATTGAACACCCTTTTTCTTTTCTAAGGAATGGTATGGTCAGATGTTAAAAGACTTTGGAATAATGGATTGGAAGACTTTTTAGAAGAATCACGAAATCAACTTAGTTTTGTCATGAATTCTTTGTATTTGGCAACTTTTACTCTCAAAGTAGTTGCCCATAATAAGGTAAATAATCATTCTTATATTAACATGAGTATTAAGTTGTATTTTTCAACAACTGAAGTCTTAAGACATTCATTCTTAAAATGTCTGTATATATTTAATGCTGCTACAGAAAGTAGGCATTTTATTTATGCATTTATGTGTTTATTATTTAAATTTATTGGCTGTTCATTTCCAGTGGACTCTGGAAAAACACAAAACTAAAAGAGACATAAAAACAACTAAAAATGTTAAATTAATGTAAAGAACTTTCAGTATTTCTTGTTTGTTTTTTGTTGTTTGCTAAAATTATTTTGGGAATAACTACAGAATATATGAATAAAATACATTTTATACAATGTCAGATAACAGGAATAGTACAGTACTGTTCAAAGATATATCTGGAATTATCATACTAACTTTAATAAGTCATAGGTATTATGCATATACTGTATTATCAAAATTAATTAGAAATAACCTTATAAATGCTTAATACATGCCAATAGTTTGGTTTTTGTTTCTTAAATATAAGAAATATATAGTAATAAACTGATTGATTACAATCATCCATTTGTATGTGTTTGTATACACATACTATATTTCACAGACGTATTTCAGCAAGTACTTTGTTGTGTAGTAACTTATTAAATAATGAAATATGTTTCATGAGATATACTGCTGAACTATTCATCAGTTATAACTGAAGTAATGATAAGTTTTATTTAAAAATTCCAGTTCCATGATTTTGCTGAGAGGAAGGATTGGGATGCTTTCCATCCTACACTTGTGGCTGAAGGACTCTTTGCTTTTGCTAATGTTCTCAGTTATCTCCGACTGTTCTTCATGTATACAACAAGCTCCATCCTGGGTCCACTTCAGGTATCTTGTTACATGACTATCAACATTGGTGTGATAGTAGCATATGACCACTGTTGTTAGATTTACTGTAGGTCTTTAGTTTTTCAAGTATAGGCCTTCTTGGCTTAATTAAACTTACTGAAATATTTGAGTGTATTCACAGTTGCCCTCCCTATCATTTCTTGAACTAGCTATGCACGTTTATGTCTAAATGGGTAAGGTGTGGTTGCTTCATTGAATCAAAGTTGTAGAAACAAAATTAGAATAAATTCCACGTGATTCAATTGGTAACATTTATATTTTCTAAAGTAATTGATTATGTAATTCTTATTGTATCAAGAGACACTGTATTTTTCCTCTCTATAGCTGAACACTCAAATTTGTAAATAAATGTGAATTGTGCATAAATTCATAATATCTACAAAATATTGTTTTATTGTCTGCACTTTTTACTTCACTGTAGATTTACTTTTTAAGTAAACAATAAAAATGTATATTTTTTAAAAATAGGTAACTTCCTGTTATCTGGTCTCAAAAATTTTGAGGAATTAAATTTTAGAGAATAGTATATAGTATATTACATTACATTACATTATGAATATTTGCTATTTTAAACTATTTACTTAGGATATTCTTTTCTTTTTCATTTTAATCAAAATAAAATAAAATTAAACATTCCATTTGCTCTTAGTGAAACACGCTCTTTTGTAATTTTATGGAGTTTTTTCACTGTCTCCTTCTGTCTTTTTTTAAAAAAATTGCCATCACTTGGTATTAGTTTAAGTAATGTCAAGTAATATGTATTTTACAGATTTCAATGGGGAAGATGTTGCAAGATTTTGGGAAATTTCTTGGTATGTTCCTTTTGGTATTGTTCTCATTCACAATTGGGTTGACTCAACTTTATGATAAAGGATTTACTGTCAATGAAGAGAAGGACTGCACTGGGATTTTTTGTGAGCAGCAAAGCAACGACACATTCCACTCGTAAGTTTCAGTGCTCTCTAGCCATGCATACTGCTGATGCTTTGTTGTACCTTGCTTGGCATATGCTAATTATTAGAAATTGTCTAACTGTGTTGTTGGCCTAATAATAAAATTGTTATTACTTACTTTAAAATTTTCATTGATTCCATAATACATATAAATGGCATTTATTGAGCATGTAATTGACTCTACAAAAGATTTTACTAGAGTCTTGTTTAAGCAAGTACTTTTACTTAATTATATAATAAACCTTATAGAGAAGACATGTCAAACTTGCGACGTCACATGACATCGTGCAATGTATTGGAGCTTTTTCTCCATTGCTGGCAATGGGGTTGGCGTGGTTTCCTGATGACATTTCCGGCCCACGGGCCGGCAGTTTGACACCCCTGCTATAGAGCAATCATAATGCTACATTTTGTATTTGATGTCAAAATGCATTCAATAGTGAGTTGAAAAATTTAACTTACAAATTGCTGTGATTTCTCTCATACTCATAACTGGAAAAATTATATCAAACCTCTACCACCTCCTCTTTCATTTCTACTTATACTGTGTAATACCATAGCTCTTCCATTTAAAGAGATTAGCCAGTCATCCTTGAAACAAATATGTTTAGTTGTCTCTTAAATACTTCAGCATGGATGTCCATGCCAATTTCTATGTGTTTACTCATAATTCTGTTCCATCTTATTTTTATGTTAATCTCAGAACTTTAAATTTTTGCATGGCTTTATATTAATGTATTTGTATTTATTTCTGTAATTTGATATTTATTTTTCACTATATATTTACAAATGTTTACATATATTGTGAGATCAAAAGGATGTATGTAAACCAATGCAGATTAAAATCCAATTCATATATTAAACCATGAAGTTGCAATGAAGTTATATATAAAGTTCATTTTTATCCTGAATATCTAATCAAAACACATAGAGTATTTCCATTTTTACACTAATTTCCACCCTACTATATACCTATCAGGTGCTTCCTCTCTTTCACTGGGCTCCTATACAATTTTAGACCTAAACATTGAAGTAAATTAGAATAGCATTGTTTTAATCTGGATTTTAAAAATGATGAGCAATACAACAAATGAACTCTTTCCTTATGTGTTCTTAAGGGTTATCTAATCAAAGCTTTTTTTTTTTCTATCCTTAGGTTTATTGGCACCTGCTTTGCTCTGTTTTGGTATATATTCTCCCTTGCACATGTAGCTGTATTTGTCACCAGATTTAATTATGGTGAAGAATTGCAATCTTTTGTGGGTGCTGTTATTGTTGGCACATACAACATAGTAGTTGTGATTGTTCTTACCAAACTTTTAGTGGCGATGCTTCATAAAAGTTTTCAGCTAATAGCAGTGAGTATTTTTAGGGTTTATTGTTTTATCCCCTGTATAACAAAATTTGAAGCCTGAATAATGTCTTCTAGATTAGGATGTGGAATTTTCTATTTTTGGTGTATAGATTATAATGCCTGAAAAACACTGATGGGAATCGTTTATCTTCATTAATAATTCATAAGCTAAACCTTGTCTTTAGTGGGGGGAGGAGTAAAAAAAAATCAAAATCATGACTATGTAATTGAGCCCCTTTTATTTTTGTGTGACACATATTAAAAGGGACATGACATAGAGGTAGCACACAATATCTTGACACAAAGCTGTGTTTAATCATAATTTATCAAAATTTCTGACATCTTTATGTATTAAATAATTTAGAATCATGAGGATAAGGAATGGAAGTTTGCTCGTGCGAAGCTGTGGCTTAGCTATTTCGATGACAAATGCACACTACCTCCACCTTTCAATATTATTCCTTCTCACAAAACAATCTGCTACATATTTAACAGTCTCAGTAAATGGATTTCTTCTCTTACATCATCGGGCAAAGTTAAGCGGCAGAACAGTTTAAAGGTAAGGAATTGATTATATAATTATCACGTACGTTTAATTTTTATTGTTCCTTCATTACTTTGGAAAACTTATATAGCTTATAACTTAATCATAACTCTGGGCAATGTACATTAAATGACCTCTCTCATTTAATGTCATGCAAATATATATATATATCAACAAAAAGCAAAACCTATAAACAAACACCTCAAACAAAACATAACCAGGCTCATTAATTGCACATTCCACCTCACAGGATATGGGTTCATATAATGTCTTGATTTTCCATGTGCATTTCCTAGAGAAAATCCTCATTTTGAAGCATTCCTAAAGGCTAACAGGTCAGAACCATCCAATTTCAGGGCAGGAGGAGAGAGATATTTCCAAAGAATAAGCAACAAAACGCTGCAATAGAAAAGGCATGCCTCCTAAGTCATTACTTCAAGAGAAGATCTGGAGCCTGCCTATCCTGTAAAGTGCGTCAATACACAGAAATAACTGGTGAAAGGCAGTTGTGCAAATAACCCAGTCCTGGACCACATAGAGCTTTGTAGGTGAAATCAACTTCTTGAATTATACACAGAAATCCTTCGGGAGGAAATGCAGCTTATGTTGTAGTAGTAGTGTTAGATGAGGATATTGTTTTCTCCTAGCAAACAAAGTATAGTTCTATATATATTACATCAAAGTCTCCAAAATTTCAGTGGCTGAGTCTGCACTTATCACTATGAATATAATGCTAAACTGCATTTATGTTTTTTCTGCTAGCAATTTGTGTTCAGTTTGTAAAACATACTATAAAAATCTGAGGGATTGCTTGTCTCCAATAGTTTCTGCACATTTAGCACAGTTCAGCAGGATGGGCATGCTCTGGATTCTGTTAAAGAATGTCATCTCATGAATTGTGTCTTCTCTGGGAATGATACTGAATACTTATATAAGACCTGGTTGTTCTCCCAAGTCTTTGGGACAAGATAATTATGATAGCCTATACTAGTAATTATTTATAGTACTTTTGGGAAGGAAAAAAATGAAGAATCATTTTGTATCTCAAAAGAGAGGTATTTTTGTTTTTAGGGCAAGTATATTTTAACAAGTACTGGAAAACATCAGTTCCAGCCAGATTACTAATCAGTTGTTACTCAAGATTGTAAAGTAACTTCCTTGTACTTAGTTTTTGATTATATATACTTATTAGTATAGGTAAGTAGATGCATATTAGCACATAGATAATTGTCTGATTCTTATATGTGTCAGTTATGCCTGAACAACAAAGACAATATATAACAATTTATATCTGGGCAGCTTAGTATTAAGGTTGTAAATATTTAGGGGATATTGTAAAGATATTTACCCATGTAGGTGTGATCATAAAGGCAGTATGCTTTTGTTTTGAAAACCAAACCAATATTGTTTATTCAGAAACATTTGTTGAACAACCATGGTAAAGCAAACTGTGTACTGGATTAGGATGTATACCAGGTCACAGTCCAATTGGCATCCTAAAATAATTGTCAGGTTTCTTGAATCAACCCAAACAATCCATAGTATTGCTTTTAAGCAGAGCAAACTTACAAATCCAATATGGCCTTATTCACAGTAAGGCCATATGTTGTTGTGACACAAAAATGCATATGCACAGAGGCATAGCAGGACACTCTTAAACTGGGACTTCAACTGGATTGTTCGAGCTGGTGGCAGATACTGCTGGGCAAACTTCTAGAAATTACATCTGTAGAAAACCCCATATTTTGGGCAGGTTCTTGTTCAAATGCCACGGAGGCAAGTGAAATAGACAAACCAATAGAGGTTGCTAGCATAGTAGCTTCTGCACAATTTTGGAATTTTGAACAATATGCATGTTCTATCCATATACTGCCTGAGTTCAATAAGTTGGCATTATTTGCAAATATAAATAGGGATAAAATGATTTGTGTGACACAAACTTTATAGTATGTTTGCTATAGGCATTAAAAAATTAAAAACAACAAAATTAGTCAAAAGTTCTCATTAATCCAGAGGAAATGGTTAAATGATAAATCAGAGGTTGCAACTGAGTTATTTGTTTGATGCAACTGCTGACAAGTCTTATACGGCATCATTTGCCTTGCAGTTTATTCATGGAATTTGTGACATTTTGGAGGACTGTTATTTGGTTGGTTAGCCTCTAGCTATGACGGGGTTTGATTTCGTGATGTTTTGAGTATCTCAAGAATTTAGCTTAATATTCAGTTCTAAAATGATTTTACACAAATTTATCTAATTTGTCATTATTTATTTAAAGGAATGGAGAATTTTGAAGCAAAAGAGAGATGAAAATTACCAAAAGGTGATGTGTTGTTTAGTCCATCGTTACTTGACTTCCATGAGACAGAGAATGCAAAGTACTGATCAGGCAACAGTAGAAAACCTGAATGAACTTAGACAAGATTTATCCAAATTCCGAAATGAAATGAGAGACTTGCTTGGTTTTCGAACATCAAAATATGCCATATTTTATCAAAGAAACTAATTTTCAAACTTTTCTAATGATTCCACTCAGGCACTTATATTTGCAGTGTGTTCAAAAGCAGTAATTTTATTAATATACTTTTAAAATGCAATGGAAAAACTGTTGCCAGATTCTGTGGTGAAACAGTAACTGGTGATTTTGAATTAATGTGAAGCTTCTGATGTATATAATTTGTAAACTGTATATAGTCAGCTAAATGGAAATATTTTGTTATATGTCAGATTTGATATTATCATAGAGACAATGACTAATTTAAGTGTACACTGTTGCACTTTGGAGATGATGTTTAATTTTTTTCTCTTTCAAGTATAAAATGAAGGCACAAATTATTTCTGACATGTTTTCAACAATTGTACCTTTCTAAATTAATATAGACATGAACCAGTTAGGAACATATTTTTAAAAGCTACATTTCTGAAAAAAACTATCAAATTAGTTTCATATAATACCATTTAAAAAGAATTCTTTTGGAGTTGGAATAATATTGAAAGGCCATATTACCATCCCTGTGACATTTTGGTCCTCAGAGACTAATGAATGATATCAAAAAAATTAATACTTTGGAATTGACTTTATGGTTTTATTTTTATTTTATATTTTTGTAAAATGATGGCTAAAATTTCCTAGAGATAATCTGAAGGTGCCATTTTTATCTATATCTCCAGCACCTATTTATATCAAGTTATTTCCAAGATGCAATACTTGAAATAATGGATTTCAACATTCATATTCCTGTAGATAATTCAACAGAATTAGCTGTACACATGGTACTTCTGTTGATTGTATTAAAAATTAATCTTCATTATAAAAATAATATTGAAATATTTGAAATATTTTATCCTCTTAAAAATATTTATAGTAAAACACTTTACTAGTGTAATGGATCAAGTAAAGTGCAAGAAATGTATTTTCACTGTTTTCATTGAAAGCACACCATATTTAGGCAGATTACCTTCTCCATGTTTGAAAAAAATACTGTTTGAAGTCATTTGTTTTAATCTCATACTTATTTTTAAAATATACTTTACCTTGGAGTTTCTTAATGTATATATTGATACCCTGTTTAATTATGTTTATTTATTTTCTAAATGTACTAATTGAATATTTCTATTAAATTCTGCAAACTATGGCTAACAGGTGCTGGTCATCTAAGTAATTGCTAAAAATAAAGGAAATAGAGAATGAAATTTAAATAAAATATTTTTCCTGAGGCTTTGTTATTACATATCCACACCCATACATCCATAAACAAATCTATTTTTGCACCACAGAATTATCAAAAGTGATATGATTATAAAATTGATGATTCTTTTGCATTGTCTGTATATTCCATTTGTATAACAACCTAAACTTATCCCCCACCTGAATTTATCCCACAAAAGAAGATGGTGGATTTTTCGATTAGAAATTGAAGGTTTTTACTTATGAAACACACCATTTTGTATTGTATAGTGTATCTTGTCAGCTAGCACAGTATAGAAATATTGGCATTTTTCTAAAAAAGTAATGCTACTCTTAATGTCTGATCCAAGTTTATTTCAGAAAAATTCATTTTATTATTATGAATATCATAAAAAGGTATATAACTTAGAAACAGTGTAATTATAGAAAAACAAAAGCTGTTTTGTGATATAATTTTTCTTTTTCTATTTTTTCTTTCATTTTCTTCCATTCAGTCAAAACCATAAATAATGTGCTTTCATCACATAAATGAACTGAACCTAGTAAATGGTTTTCTTTTGGTACTTTGTATTACCTTTAAAAGGGAATTTACTAACAATTTGTTCAGGATCTAATAATCTGAATATTTTCTGTTTTCTACTCCCAGAAAATCTATTGAATAACAAAATAAACAAAACCTGGTACAATACTGGAATAGATTACTCAAAAAGCAAAATAGAAAGAAGTCAATTAAAATACTTTACAATATGGCAAATCCAGTATGGCACAACTTCACTTGATAGTTTTGGATTATGGAGCCAACTCCACAGGGACTGATTGTGGTCTGCCTTAATTCAAAGGTTTCAGCAATGATGTATTTTATTTGCATCTATTATATAAGCAAGATATTCAAGAATAGTATTTAAAAATAATAGCAAAATAGCAAAACATTGTAAGTTATGATCTTGCTTTGTCCAACATAATATGGTTCATGTTTAAGCATCCTAGAATTTGGAATATTCAGATTCAAAAGTATTGAGATTAGAATTATACGTTTAATATTATCTTTTTGAGCTATATATTTAATATGATAGAACTAGTATCCAAAATGTATAAGCCAATCACTTGTCAAATCTCAATAAAATCATCATTGGCCAAACTGGTTCTTCTTAACTGATTTAGTCTTATGTATTAGAAACTGTAAGAATAAGTATCCTGCAAAGTTGTACTGATCTTATTCGAGATTCTACTGAAGTTCAGAGTCCAAAGTATATTTGAATCAGAATCTTCTGATAATTCTAAATTTAGCTTAGAGCCATTCTACAATCTTGAGCATGAAACGCCAGAATAGAATTTTTTAAAAATCAAATCTGCACACTAAATCTTTAAAGCAATATGATACAAATCAGGTTCAAAATATGGATTCAATGTATAAAGATGACAGCATCCTTTCCACTGTTTGGAAAATTTCTATTCATCAAGTGATCATAAAAAAAAAAACAATACTGTTCTTGTGCACCATAATTGTGGGCCTTAATGTCTTAGGATTTTTAGTCTTTTCACTCTTCCCAGAATGTTTCCTAGTTGTAAATGCAGTGGATCCAAACATGATTTTTTTCCCTTATTGCATGCTTTGAATCAAAATCCTACTGTAGAAAATATTAGCAATAAGCTTGAAAAACAGTTTTTTAAAAAAGTATTTGTTAATAAAAATGTTTTTATGATTAATATGAAACAATTTTAAAATGAATTATAAATTTTGCACTTGTAACATCAACAATCTAGTATAAATTAAGAGTTTCAGTATAGTAGAAATGTATTGTTTCAAGTTGCTGAAAGCTTTGAAATACATTTTTACTTTGATTACTTGCAAGATAGATAAATCAATTAGGATTATATTGCTATAAAATCCCAAAAAATATACCAATTTGGAAAGTGCAAATTTTGTCTGTATGAAGAAAATTTAAAAAAAATGGTAAGAAATGGCTTCAAAAAGTCTTACATCAGCACCTTCTGTTTTTTAAGACATTCAGGATTTTTTTGTTCTTAGTCTTGAAACTCATAATAAAACTGCTGGGCAGGAGTTTACCTCTGCCATCTTCTTCTACCTGGCCCATGATAACATAGTTTAGACCTATTGAAAGAGAAGGAAATGATAAATTCTGCTTTATATCCCTAAGAATAATATAGTTCAACTGGCTACTGAATTCTTCAAATGCAAACAAGACTTTAGAAAACTCAAGTTACTCATCCTATGGAATCAATACACTCATGAAAATATTGGTCAAATGAAAATATTGGTCAAATGTTTTGTTCACTATTAAAAATAGCAGCTTGTCTATTTCTTCAGATAAATTTATTTGGCTATATTTTCCAGTAGTTATTGCTTAGTTGCTTTCTGGTATGATCTCTCATTTAATAACATTTGATAAAATATTATGACAATTGCAGCTGGAATTTCCATTGCTAAACCATGCTGTGAATCATGCCTGATTCTACGACTTTTTTGGTATTTGTTAAGCAAATCACATGGTTGTTAAGTGAATTTCAACATCTTAAAGTTTTTGCTTGTTGGAAGATAGCTGGAAAGGTTGCAAATGGCAATCAAATAACCCCAGGATAGTGTAACCATCGTAAATGCGAGCCAGTTGCCAAGTGCCTGAATCTAAATGACGTGACTGTGGAGATGCTATGACAGTCATAAGTGCTAGGATCAATCATGAGTTACTTTTTTCAGCAACGTCATAACTTTGATCAGTTGCTAAAGGAATGGCTGTAAGTCAAGGACTATCTGTAAAACACCCATGTAGCATTTCTATAGTTTTATGCCACTAATCAGATAAGTAAAGTTAGCAGTAGTACCTATTTAGAAAATGTCATTCTAAAAAATAGGCTTCTTGTTGTACATACGGTATCTTGTTGGTAAACTCAACCATGGCAAATGAGAAAGCATGAATTCTCATTCACCATTCCTTAATTCTCATTGCCCCAGTCTCCTTGATAAACCCTCCAGTAACGCACATTCTTATAATTGATACCCAGAGCATAAAGGAACCCTGCTTAGTAAAAAGGACTGTTCTGTAGAACAGTGGTCCCCAATCTTTTTGGCACCAGGGACCAGTTTCATGGGAGACACGAGTCAGTGGTGGATGGTTTTGGTTTCAGTTGCTTGCCAGCTGCTGACCTCCAGCTGCGTGGCCTGGTTCCTAACAGGCCACGGATCAGTATCAGTCCATGGGTTTGGGACCTTTGCTGTAGAAGAATGAGAAAAACTGTGCAAGGCCAGCTTCACAAGTAGAACCAACCCTGTATGATTTTGCACTTACTGATGCAGGGATCCTTATCCCATTTACATAAATATTTTTGTAGTATTCATTCAATGTTTAGCTTTTTATTGTCATTTCAACATTGTGAGAGCTAATAAAATGATTTTAACATCTAGTTTTATTTAAAACAGAAGTCCATAGTCTAAAAATTAAGTATAAGCAAAACCATTTCAAATCTTAATTGTTGGACAAACATGCCTATGCCTTCTAATAATGTATGCCTATTTTAGTTTATGGAGCTACAGATTCTTTTGAGGGCTAAAATGGCTTAAGCCATCATCCTGTTTCAACTCACTTATATTATTAACATATAATACATACAAAAACTGAAAAGATTTTAAGGTAAGCAGTTTCTGGATATTCTCACTCATTTCACCTTTTTTACTAATTTAAATAATTTGTTTTTGTATTTTGTTCGGTGAATGAGCAACTTAAATATAGTTTTCTGGGAAAAATAGGAGCATAAAAACTATAAAGACAAATGTCATTTGAAAAATTCAGAATTCCACTTTGAGTTTACTTACCTCTCCTGATAACAGGACATTGTTTACAGACAACAATAATCTTGGCACTCAGATTTTTCCCTGCTTGCTGAATTGCTAAATTTCCTTCTTTGTATACATTAATGATTGATACAGTTGCATATAAACTTCCACCTCTGATGTTGGTTGTGATAACAGATCCAGTTATTACTAAAAAGGACAATTTAGGAGGAATAGATTGCAATAATTATGCAAAACAATGAAGCAGGTTTTTTTCCACCATTCAGCAGTGAACAAGCATAAATAGAAAATATAATACATAAAGGAATGTTATGAATAATGCAATAAAGTTTTTATTTACAGGAAAAACAAAACTTTGGTAAAAAGGAAGAACTGCAGCTTAAATATCCATGTTTAACCATGAATATTGGATAAATAAACTTGTTTGTCCTGGGTTAATACATGGCATACAAATTGCATTTGTCAGTTGCGCTAAAGGAATGATACACTGAAAAAAAAGGGGGTATGAGCATCATTAACTATAATGATATTAAAGAAACATATTCAGAAGATAGCAAGGAATTAAGAGCAAAGCAGTATGTACTATGAATTTATCACTTTGAATAAAAAAAAAAACCAAAGAGCCTTCCAATACAACATGCTGATGTTGTCACTAAATCAAAACGTTCATACAGCAACAGTCTCCTTCTGTTCAGTCATTTGTGTTTAGATTAGAAAACTCTTCTGACAAAAAAATTCAGTCTTCTCATCAAACATCTCAAGGAATATAACTAAGTCATAGAGTTCAGTGCAAGAGCTACAGTTGTATAAGCTGAAAGAATTTCCTTGTGCACTAATGGTAGCTTACAGATAAATGCTCCAAACCTCTTCTATAAACATACATCCCTAAGTCACTTTTTTGGGGGTGGGGAGAAGAAATCTGATCTTACCAAAGTTACTTGAACAGTAATTGCTCTCAAGAGTTCCACTCCTTTTGCATTTTTGCTGGCACAGGCTGACTGTAGGTTTCAAGGCTTTCCAAAGAGACCCAAAATGAAAAAAAAAAAAAAGTGTTTCAGAACTCTTCTAAAAATGTCTTTTTTTATGTTGTTACAGAAAAAAAGGTCACTCAAAAGCAAAACTCTGAACAATCTAGACAAGCCAAGTTTTAATAAACCAATGTTCTATATACTAGCTCTGTATGAATTATAATTATGTAGAATAGTAGTGCCTGAATTCATGGTAGCACAGATGATGTACCTAGATTCAGTTCTGAAAGAATGTACAACATCTAATTGGCAAAAATAGTCTAATTTGTTTTTTATGAATCCAGATGTTTCTCATGATTATGATCAGGATTATAGGAGGGGCATTATGGAGAAAAAAGTTTGCTCTTGAATGAAGAATAAAATCTCTATCCTTAACAATTCTAAGAGCTGATGAATTAGCAAATATATGGCCACTTTTCTAAGTATGGACATACAATTTTTTTTCAGACAAGCAATACTCATATGTGGTGCTTCTGTCACCTCTATTTAATCAAAACAATTATTTTTGGTCACTTAGTTACATTAAAGTATAGCAAATACGAAAAAAATGACATTACAATATAGCTTGAATGTTATTTCCTTCATTCCTTAAATGAAGGCCCCACACTCACCTGTGATAGTAGGAAGAGTTGTGGTGGTGATTGGTGATGTGGTTGTTGGTAATTTTTTGGGCCTGAATTTATAATGACCAATAAATCCATCAGCAGTTAAACTTAAATCAGACAAAAATTGAATAAGCAACTCATTTTTTTCAGATATAATAGGCCTAAAAGAGAATAATGTTTTTATCATTAATAACTCTGCAGACCATAGTAAATAAATATCCTGCACATATAAATATTTTGAATGAAACTGAATTTCCACAAGGAATATAAACATTTACTTTGATAGAAAAACAAGCTTCACAATTCCTAAATAAATCTGTCTACAAATCTTACTTTAGCTCTTAGGAAAACAATAACAGTGGAAGAAGAGACAATAAGTGGCTCTAAGACAAACTGCTAAAATGTACTTATGGATCCATATACAGAAAGTGGAAGTGTTCAAAAATGCAAATTTTCAGTATGTGTTTATCATTTAGAGCAAGTTCTATAGTTAATTCAGAAATACTCTACTAGTATTTCAAGTACCTCTGTCTCTGTGGTAATATATCAATAGTGATCAAGAAAAAATGTAAATGAAGAGGTGAAGAATGAAATTCACACTTGGACTCATGTAACTGAGTCTAAATTCAGCATTAACTTTCAAACCTGGAACCTTCCTTTTCTTATTCCAATGTAGCCAACATAATGTTTAGGACAAGCTCAGTTGGAATAAAGTGTTATTAACAATATCAAAACTGATGGGAGCAACAGGGAGATGAAGGGAACGGTGGAAGAGAAATAAAGAGGAAAGAACCTGGGCACAGCTAGTTGTTGAGTAAACTCGCATAGCCATATCCACAGCTAGAATTCTGTGATCTTGAATGTTTCAGTACAGCAACAATTCTATACTGGTAGACGGTGACTTGTAAGATCACAAGGGCAGTATGATATCAGCTTAATAACTTGTGCACCACAGATTCAAGCAATTCTGAGCTCTTGCAGAGGTGATCCTGGATAAGAAATATTGTGATATCTATCTGTAAGGGCCACTAAAGACAGGGTATTAAATTGTATCACTGTGAAAGCTCTTCACTGAATAACATGGGATAAACAATAAAAATATTTAGATGTGTATTTTAGATACTGGTTGCTTGCAGTAGCAGAATTTGGTATCTATCTTTTTGAACACTGAGGTCCAAAATTAGGATATTTTGGGGTGGGGTGGAGTGGGGTGGTAGAGAAGATAGCATGATAATAGGAGCACATTTTCTTCCCATTGCTTCTGTTGTATTTTTATCATACACTTATTTACATCGTGGTGGTTATCTGTTATTTTTAATCTTATTAAACTTGCACATTTAGACTATTGAAAAATAGCACAGGATTATTTCTAATTAATGTGAGTCATCAGTATTGTAATGAAACAATACTCTATTGATCAAAATTGAAGCTACAGTAACTTTTAAGAAAGAGAAAATCAGTTTTAATGTCTAAATTTGGAAAGTTATTGAATAGATAACTGGGCTCTAACAGGCTTTCCATAAAAAATATAGAATACCCATCACTTTGTCCCATCCCTCTTGTGGCATTTGCTAAAAGGTATTTAGCCAATGAGCTTACTTACGCTGGTGGGCTGTCTCCGCAGTATTTCCCAATTCTCCTGGCATCATTAATCTTGCCACCGTTAAACACTGCCACATAGTCATACCTGCAGTAGTTATCTCTCTCCACATCAAATTTTTCAAACTTTAATTCTATGACCTGCAAGATAATGATTGATCTGTTAAAACACTTGCTAATTATTAGTATGAAAATCTCTTTGAAATCTAAATATATTCTGACCTATATTATTTTAAGCCATTGTTAAGCCACAAGAATTTTAAATCTACATTGTGTTGTTACCTTTGTTTTAATCATTTTAATCATAAAATCTGTAGAAAAAAATTAAAACATTTGGTGCAGGATAAAACTAAATAGGTCTTGGAATCACCTTCCTCTACTGGCATATATTTAATATGAACTGAATAGAAGTAAATCTGATGTTTTCCCTGGTATGTGGTTATATAAATAAATGGAAGCTTTTTATAAGTTTGTGACTGTACTGGAAAATATTATTTTATCTCAAAGCTATTATTTAGCTTTGTATCTGTCTTTAGTCATTAATCTGCATTTCTACTCAAACATGAAAGACTGCTTAAGTTATTTTTAGGCAGGCACCTTATATTGGTCAGCAGTGACACAGGAAGATGCCAGAGGCAGATGATCAATTTAGAGACAACGGTTAATAGTAGTAGTAGTAGTAGTAGTAGTAGTAGTAATAATAGTAATAAAGTTGGAAGGAACCTTGGAGGTCATCTAGTCCAATCCCCTGCTCAGGCAGGAAATCCTATACCATTTCGGACAAATGGCTGTGCATTTGTAAAGTTATCAATTCAGATTGCACAGGAGAAGGCAATGGTAAACCACTCCTGCATTTTGACCAAGAAAACCACTGGGACAGAAAATACAAAATGATTGACGATATAGTGCCAGATAATAGGCCCCTCAGGTTAGATGACACTCAATATGGAGGAAGAATTAAGGATCTTTCAGAATACTATTGGTGTTTATGAAGTAGCTAGATTAAAGGCTTTAGTTGCTGATGTAGGATAAAAATCTGAAGCCACAAAGATAGAAATACAGTAAGAATATGGAATCTAACAAATATATAAATATAGGAAAACTCAACATAATGAAAGATAAAAGTGAAACGACTGCAAATTGATAACTTAGCCATCAGCGAAATGAGATAAACTCAGATGGGACACTTTCAGTCAGAGAATTACACTGTTTTTTATTCAGGACATGAAAAAAAAAACAGTATTGCTTTTACAGTTAGAAACAGCATAGCAAAAACAGTACTTGGCTGCAATACAATCATTGACCAAATATCATTGGTCACCAAATATCAGAAAGTCACAGAGTGTGCAAGGAAGATGTGTTCCTTGTGGAGGCTAGAATGCCAAAATTGGAGACATTAAAGAGGACAATGTAGATGTAAAAGTCAAAGAGCATAGCGAATAGAGACTAAAATTAAATATAATAAAATATATCAATAGAAGAGAATAACTGTAGCTCAGGTTTGAACTATGGAGTTCTTAGTGCTCTCTAAGCTTGGTTATTTTTCTTACAGACATTTCATTATCATACCAGGTAAAATCATCAGTACACTTGAACAAATCAACCCACAGTTCTCACTTGAGAAACAAATGACCAGGCTCAAATTATTTGACTTTGGACTCATTTTGTGAAGATCCAGCTCTCTGGATCCAATACTGGGAAAGGTGGAAGAAAAGAGATGAAAAGGACAATCAGCAGCAAGGTGGCTGAACTCAGTTACAATTAGTGCATTGTTGGCAAACTTGAAAGCTGTTGAAGATGCATTTCAGAAATCAGAATATTAATCCACGTGGATTGGACTTGTTCCATTACCTATTCTAGAGATGGCTCACTGGATTAGCAACATAACTTAAATGATTGCTATTTGTCAAAGTTGCGTATGTTCTTCCTGGCTACATCTTCAATGTTTGGTTTGTTGAAGTGCTCAAGAATTGAAGATCTTTTGGGTATCAATGCAGTTACTAGGCATGTGATGTCACAGTTATTAACATTAATATTTTACTACATCCACACTATAGCCAACATTGTATACTGTACAATGACCTTATAATCGAAGAACAGAGTTACTAGCTTGTTACAACAATTAAGTTTTGTGAAGGCAAGCAGCCACATCTTCTAATTGGATAAATTAATAGTAACTTACAAACTATACCAGAAGTTGAGTCAACCCTTCAAAACAGACCAACTTAGGGAACCAGTTATGAATGTTCGTATTACTTTTATTATAAGGTTATAGTAATTGAGTCCTGCAGGTCTGAATATGCTTCCTGCCCCACCCCCACCTAACTGTGAGAACTAGGGAGAGTCAAATCTGAGCCTCTTTCTCAAGTTACATTTCTGCTTCAAACTCAAATTTCTTTTATCAAACCTTTGTCTTGATTGCAACTCTTCCTCCTGTTCCCCCTGGTTATTCCTACTGCTTGTTAGAGGCCTTTATTGTAAATTGGACTGGGATAAAAGGCCACTGATAGGAAGCACTTAAGAGAAGCTACGGATGCTCTAAACCAGTGGTTCTCAACCTGTGGGTCAGGACCCCATTTGGGGTCAAATGACCATTTCACGGGGGTCGCCAAACCACGCTGTCCGCCATTTTTTTCCCCTTTCCCTAGCTGCCCTACTCCCTCTTATTGGTGGCCACACCCACTTGGGGGTCACCACAACATGGGGAACTGTATTATGGGGTCACAGCATTAGAAAGGTTGAGAACCACTGCTCTAAACCAAGAGTGTCAAACTGGAAGCCTGCAGGATGGATGTGTAACATGCAACCCATGCCCACCCTTGGCTCTGCAAAGGCAAAAAACATTGCAATATGTCACGATACATCATGTCACGCGATCGAGTTTGACACCCTTGCTCTAGTCTAAATCAAGGGTGTCCAACTTTTTGGCTTGCTTGGATGCATTGAATGAAGAGAAATGATCTCTTCACTCAATAACAAGCTGATAGATAGATAGATAGATAGATAGATAGATAGATAGATAGATAGATAGATACACACACACACACGGTTATAAAGATGAAGGTTAAAGGTGATAAATATATTTTATATTCCTTCTTCCTCATATTTTCCCCTGAGAAGTGAATTGGACTGAGTGAGAGTGACAGGTCCAAAATTATCTAGTCGGTTTTCATGCGTAAAGTGGGACTAGAACTCACAGCTTCCTGCTTTCTAGACTTAACACTAGATCAAACTAGTTTTTTTTTAAAATACAGCTCACCTGGTTCTTTGGAGCCACAATATGCCAGGAGCAGGTCACCCCTGCTGGGTAATCACGATCAGGCCAGTTAGGAGTTTTAAAAGATCCGGTAGGTTTATCTAGTTGTCCACCACAGTATTGATCTCCTAAAAATACAAAATACATAGCTAGCAGAGTTGCTCAACTGTCAAATGAAGTCCATGGCAATCTACTGTACATCTAAGCCTATTACATTAGTAAATAATGTACTGCAATTACATTATTCTATCACTGTAGTTGTAGAAAAGCCACCAAGTTTCAACCAACTCCTAGAATCAATTCATTATCAATTATTAAATCTTTATATGAAAGAGTATGGTCTTTTTATCTATTAATTCTTTAACATTTTTTTCTTTAACGTGAAGTATATTTTAAAGCAGAAACTGTAGCTATGCTCCACCTTCTGTCACCAGAGACCACATTTATTATTAGACTTTTGGGCTGAAGGGTCGATAATGTCTGATGGAGTCAGGGCTCTATTAATACTCATTCGAAGTTATTCCTTTTCTTGTACTCAGGAAGTTTAAATATAAAAATATAGTTTCCTTTTAGCAAGGATCTGAACAATTAAAAACTGAATTCATATTTTTAATCTAAAAATCATGAGCTTCTATGTATAATTTTAAGTGATAAAAGTACATGCTATTGTTCTTCCTACTATGGAAAAAAGACTGTAGCTCCAGATACAAAGGATTGGATTTTAGATATCTAGTCAATTTTGAGAAATTATATTCTGTCATTCTGAAGATGCCACATTTTTACTCCCTTTTGAAAAAAATTCAGGAGAGGCTTGGTGAATATCGCAAGCTTAATTTCCCCTTTTAAAGACTTGGAATATATTTGTCATTGCTGTTGCTTTGCCTCCCCATATACACACTTAGAAAATATAATTTCAGCAATCTTATCCTATGCAAACAGACTAATTCTAACATGATTTTTAAATTTCTAAATCTGCCATGAAAATACAGTATAGATCAGAAGATTTCAGCTTTAAAAACTCGAAAAATACCTCTTTCGTGTGGCTCTGCTGCAGAATACTTTGCAACAAAGCCATTTCCAGCTGTATTGGCATCTGAAATCATTTGCACCAACATCTTATTGCTATTGGCCACGAGAGCACCAGGTCTGAAAGTGCCACAGAACCTGCCAAGACGCTGCCCGTTGGCATGGCCACTGTATACATCCACAAAATCATATCGACATAGATTATCACTTTCCAAGTCTATGAATCTAAAAGAAAGAACAACAACTTTCCCTTCAGGAACCTATAGGGGGGGAAAAAGACATAAGAGTTGAATAACCTTTTTTTTTATTAACTGCTCTTAAGATATAGAAGCTATTTTTATATTGCATTTTAAGCATTATCTGTTATAAAACAGACACTACTTTCTCAGCCTCCTCATGCAGCAGTCTTCATCAAATGCTTTTTTTTCTGTAGAAATTTTGTTACCTCCCCTTTCCAATTTACAAAACATTATTGAAGTTTTATTGTGCTAAAAAGGGGGAAGGGGAAAAAAAAAAGAGGGCAAGGGATGAGAAAAGCACCGGAAAAGTTGCTTAGCCATATCAAGAATTTTATTTTCAACTTGCCTTGCATACTTCAAGCAAGATGAAAGACCTGGGCAATATAAGGAAACAAAGTAGGATTAAGGGAAGAGCGTGGGTTTTGGCATTACAACAACAAACAATTGATATGCATAAGCCATATTCAAAGCATTACCATTTGTTAATCACAAATCATAGCTACTTTGGATAAATTTAAGGATGAAATATAATTTAAACTGAACAAAGAGATACACTGAAATGCTTCAAGAAGGACAAGAGGTTCCTGGACAGGAAGCTAAAGCTTTCAAGGAAGGGCAGAGAAGTGAACATAACACCAGAGAAAATTAAAAGCAAAGCAAAGCAAAGCAAAGCAAAGCAAAGCAAAGCAAAACCTTTGGCAGAGGCAAATTGCATGCAAAAATGTGTCCCAAGGAAGCAAAAACATTAGAGGCTTGATGCCAATGGAACTTGGAACAGTGCCAGCCTCCTCTAAGGCAATCAACCTTACAAAATCATGCCTGTCAGATTCACTAGATAGACCCAATCAGGAAATCTACTGCATAGGAAAGCCAGAAACGCTCTTTATTGAGATTGGCTATAAGACAGAATCTTGGAAATCTGTGCTATATCTCTCCTCCTTTTTATATCCAGTGTATGACATTTGCCTGAGCTGCTTCTGAAAGTATCATTGCCCAGGACATAAAGAGTGTGCCAGGATCTCCTCTTTTGTCCTCTACAATGACACAGAACATTGTAGAAAAGAGTTGGGCCTCTTGGGCTGGAAGAAATCAGAGCCTCTCTGAGAAAAAAGAGGAGTCTTGAAACAATGGGTGATTTCCCCTTTGAAAGGAATAGACATGACATGATGCTGCAGGAAGCATATTGCCTATCTTGGACCTATATCTAGGATATGATGGAGAGGTTACCAAGTCAAACCCATCAACAATTATCCATTTTCTTTTGATCCAAGATGAATGATATAACCAGAAGAATCCTTGGATCCTACAAGACCCTAGGCAGAAATGTGAAGAAACCAAGAGTACAAATACAATCTTTCCAATTGAGGATAAAGAAGAGAAAACAGGAATATAATACAAGATAGAACAAAGAAAAGTACACTTGGAAAGTATAAAAAGAAACAAAGCTTCTGATTTCCTCTATAGCAAATATAATTACAAATTTATCTCTTAATCTATGATTACAAAAAAGCTACTTTTTTCTATTACCCATTTTTTCTCTCTAATCAACAAACCACAAATCATAAGCATATTTTTGTCTGTTTCATGCAGAAAAATCTATAATTCATAAATGTTGATGTGTTGTTTCTTTGATGTAGGACAGTGGTTCTCAACCTGTGGGCCGGGACCCCATTTGGGATTGAACGACCATTTCATGGGGGTTGCCAAACAACGCAGTCCGCCATTTTTTCCCCCTTTTCCTTAGCTGTGCTACTCCCTTTTATTCTATTGGCTTTTGAAAGCCAATAGAATAGACTCTCTTGAATAGAGTCTAATTCTATTGGCTTTCAAAAGCCAATGGGAAATGTCCAGGCTGTCTCTGCCCTGCTGAGCCCGCCAAAAGTCCCATTCTGCAAACGGTGCTGCACCAGTTGAGTAGTCCTTGACTTACGACTGGTTGAGTAGTCCTCGACTTACGAGTGGTTGGGGGTCGCGGCATTAAAAAGGTTGAGAACCACTGATCTAGGACAAGAGTTAATTTAGCTACCTCTGCAAGCTCCATCATCTTACCATTCCTCCATTGTGGATAGTGTCAAACGTTTTTACTTATGAGCATATAATAAGTTTACTGCAGTTGTCATCGGGTGGGTAGTTTTAAATTTCTGGGCACTTATATCTCGGAGGACCTCTCATGGACTATGAATGTTAACATGCTTGTGAAGAAGGCACAGAAGAGGCTGTACTTCCTGAGAATGTTCAGGAAGATAAATCTATCTCAGCATCTACTTCTGTCCTACTATCACAGCACCATTGAGAGTGTCCTGATATACGGCATTCTTGCATGGTATGGGAGCAGCTCTGTAGTGGATAAAAAAGCTCTACAGAGAATTATTAAAACTGTCCAGAATATTATCGGACTCCAGGTACCAGCCCTGGATAACATCTTCGAATCTCGCTGTTTGAGGAAGATGCATAACATTCTCAGAGACTCTTCCCATCCTGCTTACAATCTCTTTGGACTGTTGCCTTTTCCTATGTCAGTGATCTTCCCAGCATGACCTTCCCGACTTCCTCTGTCCTCTGATGCTGTCCTCTGCTTCCTTTTCCAGCGAACTTCCCAGCACAACCAACTTTCTGTCTGCCTTCTGTGGTTGTCCCCCACTGCCTTTTCAGTGCATCAAGTGCCAAACAAACAATCAGCACCAGAACAATAGTTTCATGCCAAAATGAGTTGAGTACCAAATTTGACAAGTTTTGAAGCAGTCGAGTATCAAGGCACCACTGTATTTTGCAATATACTTTTAACAAAGTGTTTATTATTTATAGCTTTTCTTTTTCCTCAGATTGACTCCAATTTTGCTAATTAATTATTTTTTACAGTTCAACAGATTTATGTTTCACCTGGAAAATGGATATGAAATGTCTTATACATGTAGTCCTTGACTTCCAACAGTTCACTTAATGACTGTTCAAAGTTACAATGCCACTGAAAAAAGTAACTTATGATCATTTTTCACACTTATGACCATTGCAGCATGCCCATGGTCATGTGATTTACATTTGGATGCTAGACAACTGGTTCGTATCTATGAAGGTTGCAATGTTTCAGGGTCACGTAATCACTTTTTGCAACCTTATGACAAGCAAAGTCAAGAGTAGAAGCCAGATTCACTTAATAATCGTGTTATTAAAAACTACAGTGATTTACTTAACAACTGTAGCAAGAAAAGTCATAAAATGGGGCAAACTCACTTAACAAATTTCTTATTTAGCAAGATAAATTTTGGAGTCAATTGTGGTCATAAGTTGAGGACTACCTGTACAGTTAACTGCAAAGGTGTATTAGACTATATCCACCCATACTTTACTGCTTATATTGGTTTTTTTCTCTTTTCCTTCGTTACCATATTTAAATGTTTACTTGTAATAGCATCATTTTTCCTTTTATCTTGAAATTATAATAAAATGTATACATACACATGCACAGAAATTTATACATATACATGCACACACATAAGTGAAACGAAGCAGCAATATTGCTACATTGTAACATAAATGGTTTCAAAAATAAAAGGAGGGGAAAGGAAGTTTTGCAATATTATACTGTGAGCATGGCCTGGGAAAGCAAGGAAAGCATGCTTTACTCACATTGGTCAAATCCTGAAAACCGCAAATATATCACTATAGGATTTAATTCAACATTTAATTGTGAGCTTCCAGAGAAGGGGAGAAAACATGGACCCCAAGAAAATTGACTTAATACTCCATAGTTGGAAAGGCACTCAGTAAGAAACAGGATATAAATCTCACAGACAAATTGATGATGATGTTGATGCTATTGGTCAATCTTTACATACAGAAAATCACAATACTCCTTATCTGGTAAAGGCAAGCACAAATATTTGAAGAACACCTATTTTTTTCAGAATAACAATAAAAAAACTTTCATACCAGCCAGGAGAAATCTTGTGTCCAGCTTAATTTGATTATAATAATAATAATAACAACAACAACAATAATAAAGTTGGAAGGGACCTTGGAGGTCATCTAGTCCAACTCCCTGCTCAGGCAGGAAACCCTATACCATTTCAGACAAATGGCTGTCCAGTCTCTTCTTAAAAAACTTCCAGTGTTGGAGCATTCATAGCTTCTGGAGGCAGGTTGTTCCACTGATTAATTATTCTAACTGTCAGGAAGTTCTAGGTTGCTTCTCTCTTTGATTAGTTTCCATCCATTGCTTCTTATCTTGCCTTCAGGTGCTTTGGAGAATAGCTTGACTCCCTCTTCTTTGTGGCAACCCCTGAGATATTGGAATACAGCTATCATGTCCCTTCTCATCCTTCTCTTCATTAAACTAGACATACCCAATTCCAGCAACCGTTCCTTATATGTTTTAGCCTCCAGTCCTCTAATCATCTTTGTTGCTCTTCTCTGTACTCTTTCTAGAGTCTGTAACATCTTTGGTGTTATCTTATATATAGAGCAATCCACCTCCTCTTTTATTTGTTCTGTTTCTTTTAAATAATTTAAATCCCTCTAGCTGTGTGTTCCATTTGTGGGTTTCATCCCACCAAGTTTCCATAATGGCAACAATATCATATCTGTCCTCATTTACCTGAATTTCTAGTTCACCCTGTTTATTGCTTATACTGTGTGTTGGTGTATAGACATTTCTTTATGACTGACCCTGTGTTTACTTTCTACATAACCTGTGTGGTGCCTGAGTTCCCCTATTTTCTTACTACCTGTTTGATTAGTGCACTTGGTGTGACACTCACTTTTAAAAGCTTGATTTTGCTTGACAGCTAGGTTAATATTCTTGTCCATACATCTCTATGTTACATGCACTGATAACCCTATAATTTTTAGATTGCCGGGGACAGAAATGTTCTGTATCAATTAACTCACTGTCCCTGTTGTTCAGTTTATATATTTCTCCAGAAAATCTGTGAACTTATTGCTGAGTAACTCAATCCCTTTCTTTGATGGAAGCAAGCCATCTCTTTTGTACACTTTTTCATTGGACCAGCTGCAGACATTGTGACTAATATAACCAAAGCCTTCCCTTTTACGGCACTCTTTTAGCCACATATTGAATTCTGCTATACACTGGCCTTTTCCATTTTGTTCCTTATAGACTGGTAAAGCCTCTGAAAAAGTAAGCTTACAGCCTATCCTGCTAAGTTCCTGCCCCAAGCTCTGGAAATCATTCTGCACAGAGTACATCTTTTTGGGATAGATCATTAGTGCCAAGATGTACAACAGCATCCCCATCACAGTCCTTGCTGGCATTCTTGACTATCTTAAAAATACACTTATTGTCTCCTACTGGCAGCAGCACATGGAAGACACCCGATCTCTTTTGAAACCTCTGTATCCTTTCCTAAATTTACATTCCTTATAATTGAATCACCAACCAGAAGGTGACTTCTTTTTTTGGATGCCTTGTTCTTCTTGCATGACTGATGTCTGTGTAATACCTGATTCATACTTTCCCCTGTCCAAAACAAGTTCTTAATCTCAAACCACAATCCCCTGCTTATTTGAGTTATCATCATCACAACTATCTTGACCTGTCTCCTTAGTGTCCCTATTAAGGTCAGCAAGGGCACTGTATCTGTTATGCAGAGACACAGCGAAAGCTTTGTGTTTATGGTTCACAGCTCTCACCCTGTCAGAAACTAAACTTATTTTTTAGATATTTAATTCATCTACTCAGAATCTGATTCTGCATTATTTGCATAAAGAGGATAATGTCTCAGTTCAGAGATCACATTAATGTTTTATATTCTGTGTCCTTAATATTAGTAATTCTCATCTCCTTTCAACTCCTCTGCTCCAGCTTTGATGTTTCCATATGAGCACATAAATGCCAGTCTGGATAATAACTCTCTTTGTGTTTTTTTTTCCTTTTATAGGTAACAAATTCTTATGTCACTCATTGTTCTTCATGGAATTACTTTCACAAATCTATTTTAAAAAGTTAAAAACAAATAGAACAAAGCTTCATTATTTTCAACTTCTTTTTCTACACACCATGTTAGACAACGCTTAACAGTTTAGGCTTTTTCTAGTTAAAAATTAAACTCAATTACTTAGGAAGACTTTTCAAAACATATTTGTATGTTATAATTGTAACTGTAATTCAAAACATATTTATATGTTGTAATTGTAATAGATACTGCTTATACTAAAATCGACTATTTGAAGACTTGAATATTGTTATGTTATATTCTTAGAGGCTCTGTGAGTAGATTAAGTATTCTTTCATTTCTCCTAAATCACTGAGGACTGACAAGAGAATGTTTTAAAATCATTGGTATGTGATGCCTGGTATTTTGCACTCTACAAATAGCTATATAAGAGATGGTAAGAAAAACAGTTCAGGGAGTACTATACTTGTGGATTGTGTCAAGCCTATAATACAACGTGCTGAATGACCAGCTTCTATAGTTAGAAAAAAGTATGAAGAGAAATAAAAGAAAGAACATTTGGCTGTAATGTACTATCTTGTTATTCAGAATAACAGAATAACAGTCCAACACCCTGACCAACTGTTGTCCAATATTTTATTGAAAATCTCCAGTGATGGAGCACACACAATTCTGGGAGGCAAGCTGTTCCATTAATTGTTCTCACCGTCAGGAAATTCCTCCTTATTTCCAGGTTGGATCTCCCTCTGATGAGCTTCCACCCACTGCTTCTTGTCCTACTGTTAGGTGCTATGGAGAGTAAATCAATACCCTTTTTCCGGTGATAGCCTATCAGGTATAGAAAGATGGCTTTTATGTCACCTCTAAACCTCTCTTCATTGGGCTAAACACACCTAGTTTCCTTATTCCATGGAACTGTCTATGAAGCCCAATTCAAACAAGCATTTTTAAAAGTGTAGTAAAGGTTTGACAACAGCTGTTAAATTTTATCAAATTTTATTAAAGTGTAAAAGAATAAACATTGTATGTATCCATTCTGTTTTGTTCTAAAATATTATTGTGCTTCTAGTCTCATCTTTATCTTGCATGTTGCATATTGTATTTTTAAAAAAATATTAAGGGGAACATGTATACATCTTTTTTTCATGTGAATTCTCAGCAGAGAAGGCATTACCTTCCTTCATGTAATATCCATAAATGTAGTTTTCAATCTATTATTACCTTTCCAATAACACACAAAAGCTTTTCCTTTTAAGGTTTCAAACATGGCAAAAAGGGAACTTACAGTTTGGGTTCAAAAAACATTAAAATACTTCAATGTGGATAGTTAGCTTTCAGCACATTGTGGAAACCCTGGAATTTTTAAACATTTTGCATAAACATGGCCATCACATTAAGTCATATATATTTCAAATAGGTTTTGGTTTAGAGCAAGAGTTCAAAGTCTATTGAAATGAACAGCTAAGCTTTCATCTAGATAAAAGAACATCACTATGATCCATCTACAAGTGATTTAATTTATATTAAATATCAAATGTTTTACTTGGGTTGCTACATATGATATTAAGGTATCATTATAGACACTCATCACATAACTGAAACCATCAACAGCAAGCATGCATATTATTCTTTGTGGGGGAGGAGTTGTCATATCAAGATTTCTTACTGTGATTTTCCAGGAACATTTGCTGTTTGGAGGGTAGACTCCTGGGAATCCTTCACTTCCAATAAACCCTGATACTCCAGTTAGAATACCACCACATTTGAAAGCCCTGGAAAACAAAGAAGAATTATTTTTGAGATAGCATGATCTGGTCTAGATAAAACAAATGGCATTTAATATGCCACTGTCAAAATATACGGCTTTGTAAAAAGCATTTAAAAACTATTAAAATATAATGCAATTTTGTTGCTTTAAATTGATTATTATGTGCTATCCAATCATTTTCAACTCTTAGCAACCACATCAGGAAAATACAAATATATTATTGCTGAGTCACGATTATCTCAACATGCTATGGTTGTGCATGTGTGAATATGTAGACAAAAAAGCAGACATACAGTAGATACACCTGATGTGTCAGTGTGTGTGTGTGAATACACACATATATACATACACATACACACACACACACACATATATATATACATATATACACACATACACACACACATACATATACAGTTGTTTCCTTCAAAAAGTTTGGAAGACTTTCTTATTTTTCCATGTCTGTTTCCATCTTCATTATCTTTACAGATGCTTACTGTTTCTGGTCTCTGCTAATAGTTCTATGAAACTCATTAAATTCCTTTCTGACATTTTTGTCTTCATTGGTTTTAGCTTCTCTTCTCATCAATTTCCAATTTGTTCTGACATCCTGTTTGCTTTTGTTTCTTTCTTCATTTTTGGCAGTCTCTTTTCACATTAATCCTTAATGACCTTTTAAAGTTCATTCTATAATTCCTCTGGTTCTGTGTCAATGAAGTCCAGTAGGATACTGAGTCATGGTTAAAGGAAAAACAGGACTGAGAGTGGTGGAAAGTTAAATTTGGATGATACGATTGACTAGGACCCTGAACAAGAACCGTTCTGTAGTGAAGGACAGGCAGCATTTTTCAATCACAGGTTCTTCTCATCCGAGGCATGTCTCCAAAATAATGTGTTTTACCACTGCAGCCAACTTGGCACCAAAATGGAAACAGATGAGGAAACACATATAATTGAAGTATACTGAAAGAAAGTCCTGTCCTGTCAGGACATCCTGGATTCTGTAAACAGACCCAAGTTGTCACTTGCTATTACTTCCATCTGTCATACAGATGGGAAGAGAGATCAGCAGAGACTGTTTTCAAATTGCTAAGTGTGGGGACTATATGCCTTTTATAGGAAAGTATCAAATTCCAGGAAACATTTCCCACCAACCATTTTACAATGAGGGCATCACTTGGAATTCTACAATTTGCAGAAAGGAGTTACAGGTAGTTCCTGACTTAGGAGTACAATTGAGACCAAAATTTCTGTTGCTAAAAATGAGATAGTTATTAAGTGAGTTTTGCCCTATTTTTACGACCTTTCTTGCCAATGAATCACTGCAGTTGTTAAGTTCGTAACAAAATTGTTAAGTGGATCTGGCTTCCCCATTAATTTTGTCAGAAGCTTGCAGAAGGCTATCATTGCAAGGAGATGATGCAATGGTCATAAGTGTGAAAAACGGTCATAAGTCACTTTTTCAGTGCCGTTGTATCTTCAAACAGTCACTAAATGAACTGTTGCAAGTAGAGGACTACCTGTATTCACACCCTCACTAGCATGTTAATGGTGATGCTACTTCACTGCATCGTCTTAAAACTAAAAATAACACCAATCCTGCTTATAAGTGAAATTGGTAGTGTCACTAAAACTGTAACCCAGCCTTGTTAAAAAAGAAGGAAACCCTAGCATACTTAGGGGATTCCCAAGAACTTGCAGAAAGGAATTTTAAAAAAGCCCTATGACAGTGATGGCGAACCTTTTAGAGGCCCAGTGCCCAAATTGCAACCCAAAACCCACTTATTTATCACTGGGTGCCGGGTGGGTGTGGCCGCAGTGGTCATGGCAGACTGGGTGGGCGGGCCAGGGCAGCGGGGGCCAGTTCCTCGCCATCTCCGGGGCACAGCATGCGTGTCCACAGAGAGGGCTCTGAGTGCCGCCTCTGGCACGTGTGCCATAGGTTCACCACCACTGCCCTATAGGAACAATCTCACCACTAGTTTCTAATGAGGACAGATTTCACTTAGTAACCACAGTGTGGTATAATAGCTAAGGAGTTGGACTAGGAGCAAAGAAACCCCAAAATCAGCCCATTCCCAGCCACAGAGACACACTGAGTGACTTTGGGCCATCACTTTCCCTCAACTCAACCAACCACATATGGCTATTATGGAGAAAAACAGGAGGAGGGAACATTATGCCACCTTGAGCTCCTAAATGAAAAGTGAAATATACACTGAATTCAGAACGCTTGCTGTCTTTTGAAAAGAAAAAAAGGAGAATTGAATGGACTATTCCCTAAGAGTACATACTAATTGGATCTGAGAAAAGGGATGTATTTTCCAGGTAGCTCTTATGCATGTCTAACAACATTGGCTTCCATACATATTATAAGGCAAAACTGATTTGTATAATTTAGACAAAAGGATGAACATATGTTTTCCATACATCTGTGTAAGAGAAATGTAAAGCATCTCTGAAACTCCTTATTAAATTATATGGCCTTCCCCATGGACATAGCAAATGAACAATCTCTTCATTGCAATTTGCAACAAATACATTTGTATATTTAGACAGACTAGTATATCTGCAAATATGTGCTGGAGAACTGTGGCTAGCCACAGCATGACTCTGTGATACTATCCACTGTATGGTCCAGTTTTCCCTCAGTCGCCTGGATGAACATGAAACAAACCTTGATGTCATATAAGTATGAATTATCATTTCTTCTCTAGAACAAACACAATAGTAACCCCTTTCAAAATAAATCATCCTTATGAAACTGGACTCAAGAATTCAGGGACACTTACCCTAGAATCTCCTCACACACACCCCTTTGGAAACATCTCATTGCTATTGTTAGAATATGTACTCTGCACGTGTTTAGAAATACTCTTTTCATCTTCTCAAATACATGAAATATTCAGTTTTCACAGCAGAGACAAAAATCCCAAATGCATTTAAAAATTGCAGGGTAGAGATAAACTGCACACCCTCTAGGCTGCAAATGTCTTCTTTCTCCCTAGATCTTGCCCTTGCACGTTAAAGGAGGTTTTTTTTTTTTTTTTCTTTTAACTGCACGCCAGGGAGAAACTCGGGATTGGGGGAGGAGGCGTGAGTTGTCTCCTCAGGACAGACGAGGTCCTAAAGTGGGGCAGAGAAGAAACCACAGGAAAGTTATGGGCAAGAGAGCGGCGCTACTACGGTAATCCTTGAGGTACTAAAGTCTGCTGTGCATCTCGGGCGTTCCAGCCAGTCAGCCAGGAGGGAGACCCCTGCCGAACAATAAGCCCTTGCGGCAACAGGAGAGGGCTCGTCCTCGTTAAATCCGGGGGCAGTGCCAAACCCGGGCAAAAGTGGGACAAATAAGCAAAACGGAGCCGGCAGGCGAGGCTGGCTTGCGTTTCCGCGCGCTGCAGCGGTAGCAGCGGACTCGTAAGGGAGTTTACCTCGGTCTTTGCAGCTGCTGTCGAGTGTTGGAGGGCAGAGCGGCCGCCAGAAGCAGGAATCCCAGGGCCAACGAACGCGTGGCTGCGGCGGCCGCGTCTTGCATCTTCCTCTCCCGCTTCGGCCCCTTCGTTCGAGGCCACCTGTATAAAGCGCCTACCCCCCCAAAATACAAAAAATAAAGCGAACCACTGGCCCTTTACCGTGAATATCCCATTTGTTGGCGGAGACGAGGGGAGGGGGAAAAAGCTCCCGCGTCCTCCTCCTCTTTCCGTCCGAGGCTGCGAACGTGGGGAAGGGAGCGACCGAGAGATAAAACAGACGCCCCTCAAGCTTTTACCTTGCGGTAAGTGGCGAAGATGGCTTTGAAAAAGTCGCACTCGGCCTTTTCCAGCGCTTCCCAGGCGGAGGGAACCTTCCAATGAAATTCACCGGTGGAACTCGCGCCACCAATTCTGGGAAGATTACAAATTTAGAAATCCCACCCCCTTCCGAAGATACCAAATCCCATTTGCCTCAGCGTACGGGTAGGGGCCAGAGCTGATGAGAAATGTAATATAGCTGAATATCTATGAGATTCTCAGTCATCTAGATCATCATTATCATCCATCATCATCATCTGGCTGACTGTGCGATGATCCATAATAATAATAATAATAATAATAATAATAATAATAATAATAATAATAATAATAATAACAACAACAACAACAACAACAACAACAACAACAACAATAATAATAAAAGTTGGAAGGGACCTTGGAGGTCATCTAGTCCAACTCCCTGCTCAGGCAGAAAACCCTATACCAATTCAGACAAATGGCTGTCCAGTCTCTTCTTAAAAACTTCCAGTATTGGAACATTCACAGGTTGTTCCACTGGTTAATTGTTCTAACTGTCAGGAAGTTTCTCTTTAGTTCTATGTTGCTTCTCTCTTTGGTTAGTTTCCATCCATTGCTTCTTGTCCTGCCTTCAGGCGCCTTGGAAAATAGCTTGATTCCCTCTTCTTTGTGGCAGCCCCTGAGATATTGGAACACTGCTATCATGTCCCCCCTCATCCTTCTCTTCATTAAACTAGACATACCCAATTCCAGCAACTATTCCTTATATGTTTTAGCCTCCAGTCCCCTAATCATCTTTGTTGCTCTTCTCTGTACTCTTTCTAGAGTACATGGTTATCCCAAAGGTGTGTTTTCAAAAGGCAACTGCAATTTGTTTTTCCTTGAAGATCTTTCTCGTTTCATCCAAGAAGCTTCCTCAGTTCAGAACTGAAAAAGCTTCTTGGATGAGAAGCAAAACATCTTCAAGGAAAACAACGAAGTCCAGTTGCTTTTTGAAAAAGTATCTTTGGGATAGTATAGCTGGAATACTGCAGCTTCTCCTTCACTAAGTTCAGGGGATTCAATTAGCGTTTTCCCATTTGGTGCTCTATCCACCCTATATATGAGACATCAATTCTCACAACACTGTGCTATGGCAGATCATTATTGCCATGCTAATACCCAGGGACTACAAATGTGAGGATTAAGTCTGGGTTGCTAAAAACTCGTTACTGAGAGGAAGGGAGGGAGAAAATGTGATTGCATGTGTTTCTGAAATTGTCTCCCAAAATTTGAGATTATTAGGAATTAATCAGGAGCAGTGTTGGAAGAGAAAAAAATATAACGTGCTGTATTCATTCCTAGGTGGTATACTGACTGTATTCACAGAATTTGCTTGCCTGTGGTTGCCTCTGTCATGCTTACTCATCCAATTTTTGGGCTTAGCGTGATGGTACACTGACCCATACAACTGGGTGTTCACCATATACAAAGCTGTCTTCGACTAGCCTAGGTGTTTGTGAGTGAGGTGGGGGGAGGGGGGGAACTGCCCCATGCGTCCCACACCTGCTTACCGTGCTGCAGGGTTCCTGGTGCTGCCGCCGCTGCAAGCCATATCATGCTGCCGTTGCCAGCCCTGCAAGGTGCATGCTACCGCCACTGCCACCCCGAGTTGTCTCTCCGGCGGGAGGTCCGCTACAGTGCAATTGCTGGCAGGAGGCATATCCTGCTGCTGTTGTTACTGCTGCGAGGCATATCCTGACACCATTATTGCTGCCACTGCCAGATGTATCCTACCGCCACGAGGCATGTCATAATGTTGCTACTGTTGCGAGGTACATCATGGCATGGCTGTCACCGCCGTGAGGCATGTCACAGCATGCAGCACTGGTGCCAAGGGGAATGGGATGCACCTTGTGGCGGCAACAGCAGGATGCACCTCATGGCGGCGGCTGCAGCGTGGCAGGCCTCACAATGGCGTGTCACGCCTCATGGCTGCGGTGCCAATGGTGGCAGGATGCGCCTCGAGGTGGCTACAGCATGGACATGGCAGTGGAACAGGAGCCCTGCAGCATGGTAAGCAGGTGTGGGGCTTGTGGAGCAGCTCTTGGAAAAAAAATAAGACATCTCCTGAAAATAAGACCTAGTACGTATTTTGGAGGCAAAAAAAAAGTAAGACCAGATCCTATTTTCGGGGAAACATGGTACAATAATAACTATTGTGCTTGGAGGACCAAACAAGAGTAATCAAAAGCCCAAAGCATATAGCCACATTTGGGGAAGCAAATGCAAACTTGTGATATGCAATTTCTTCATCAATACTGATCTCTTCTATTATACATATGGTTTCACAGTTACAATGTCAGTTTTTAATTATGTTAAATGTAGTTCTGAAATTATACCATGGCACACATTTGGCCTTGTTAACATGCCTCCTATTTCTTTCATTTGGGGAATGTTTTTATGTAACATAATACCCATCTTACAGAAAAGTTTGCTTTATACATTTTTGTAAGTTTTGGTTGGATTAATAGGAGCTCTTGTTGATGTTTTGATCAACCACCATTAAGTGCAAACTTTGTACAAAATAGACCAATTCATAACTTTAATTACAAACAAGCCACTTTTTAATACAAGTTCATAAAGACAAAATCGTGGTTTAACTTTTTTTGCCCAATAGCTACTAAAGCAATTGCAATTTTTTATGAATGCGAAGCCAAAATAAGGATCAATAAAGTGGCAGTCTCCAGTATTATGCAAAACATTTAATTTTGTTTTCTTTTCTGCTTCCTAAATTAGTGTTTTCCCTGTGCTAGCCTACATAAACACTGTATTTGATCTACTTTGAACACCTGGAAAATTAATTGGTGTCTTTGAGCTTCTTTTATTTCCCTTTGTTTAATCTCCTTACATTTCTGGCTTTCAGGTTTTATTTAAAGTATAATTACCAGCTAGATATGTAGTGTGTGTGTGTATGTATGTATGTATGTATGTATGTATGTATGTATGTGTATTCACACACACACACACACACACACACATATATATGTTTTCTGAGGTTTTCGCGGGTGTTTGTATGTAGGTCTTTGGTTGTTCGGGTTTTCTCCCGCGTAAAATTGGAAGTGTCTTGGCGACGTTTCGACGAAGTCCCATTCGTCATCTTCAGGCTGGTGCTTTCAGCTTTGTGCTCCAGAAGCCAGACCACAACCAGAAGCCAGACCACAGCTGCATCATTAGCCACTTTAAACCCCTCCAATCCATACATGAAGCAAACTGACACCCTCCATGAAGATGAGGCACGACCACGAACGCGAAGCCAAAAATAGCAAGGCAGCCCAAAATCTTAAACCCCCTTGCAACTCAGACTAACCTGAGCACAACCAAACAGAACACTCCCCCAGCCAATCAGAGCACAGCCAACCCCCCAGCCAATCAGAGCACAGCCAACCCTCCAGCCAATCAGAGCACAGCCACGCCCCTAACCAATCAGAACACACCTCCACCCAATCAGAACACAGCCAAGCTCCCACCCAATCAGTTCATACCCCCACTGGCAGTTAAAAGGAAGAAACAGCTAAGATCACACATTTGCTTGTATGTTTTTGTTCATCTTATCAGTAGAACTCTATTGTACTGTTCTTGGGATCAGTTTGTACACTTAATATGAAGATTTGTCCATCCAAACTATTCCTGTTGTTTGGGTGTCTGGTGTTCATGAAAGAATTGGAAAAGATATTCTCCACTCAAAGTCTTAGTTTAATTGTTTGGACACATACTTTATGACTTTAAGAAATGATTCTCAACAGCTGGGATGCATAACACAGTAGGACATAAAAGCAGTTTAGATGAAATATGAGGTAAATCAAAGAAACTTTAATTTTAAATCTTAGTGTAAATAATAAATATAATAACAGCTCTTTTGTTTTTGTTTTTTTTATTGGTGTAGACATCAATCAAGTACTGGATGGTGACATGATGGGACCCAATTTGACAAAAATTGTTGAGACTAGCTAACAGCAGGTGGCAGTATCCGGCAGACTTTCTCTGACCTCAAAGAAGCTAAAGGTCAGATCTGGGTAGTCCTTAAATGTGAGTCCATCAAAAAATCTCCTCACCATATGAAAACTTTGCAAATGGGAAAAAAAATCTGGAAGAAGGGAACTAAAATCAATTATACAATGTTGTCAGTGTTTTTAATTGATTCAAGAAAATAATGGAAAATAATCCATTATTATAGTTTCACAAATATTAGGAGATATAGTTGCATAAATAGTATCAAGAAGTATATAATCTAGAATGAAATTTTGTCCATAATTATACGTTTATACTTAGATCAAATGAGGTATTTGGTATGAGTTATGATTAGCTTGATTTCCACCCCAAGCCATCCTATTTGTATCATACTCCAAAAAGATATTTTTGTCAGTAGCCATTCATGCTAATACTACCTCCAGATTCAGGTGTTAAATACTGTCTGACCTCCTTGGAAGTGTGGGAAAAATTCCCTATTTTAGGACTATGAGGTCTGGAATATAGAAGTCAAATAACCACTAAATGGAAATAAAGAGATATAAAACTCCCTTTACTGCCATTAGGACTTCTCTGCATTTTTGCAATAGCAAAATGGAAAAAAACAATGGCTTTAAAAGCAACCCTATCAGTGCTTCCTCTTAAATAGCATTAATTATTTTCTTTGACAGATCTTCATATTTTCATTACAAGGCATTATTGTAAAATACTATCTTTTAACCCAGTGGTGGTGAACCTATGGCATGGGTGCCAGAGGCGGCACTCAGAGCCCTCTCTGTGGGCACATGCGCCGTCGCCACAGTCCTAGGCCTTCAGCTTCAGGTTTATAAAACCTTTTCGCTTTAGGCCTCCGCTGCTATGTGCAAAAAAAAAAAAAAAGTTCAATCAATCAGTCAATTTCAACTTCTCGCAGGAAAAAAAAAGATCTTGCAAAGTTGGAATTGATTGATTGAACTTTTCAGTCCCATTCAGTCTGCTGTTACCACCGCAGACACGCCCACCCAATGGGCCACACCCCCCAATTGGCCACACCCACCCAATGGGCCACACCTACCCGGCACCTGATGATGCATAAGTGGGTTTTGGGTTGCA